CTTGGGGGTAGGAGCAGTAGATACCCAGATGTGGGCTGTCCTCAGCGGGACCTGTGGTTTTTGTAGACAGATCTTGGAGCTGCCCTGGAAAGAGGACACTTTCTTGGTGTTGCAGTCACTGCTGGAGCGGCGGGTGAGCAGGCTGCCTTGGGGAAGGGTGGGTGAGGAAGCACCGCGGTGCTGTGGACGGGCATGGGTCTCCTGGGTTTCTGGTCCCTCCGGGGATGGAGGCAAGCAAAACAGCTGCCCTGCAGCAAGCTGGGCCGTGACAGCGGGTGAGTCCTGGGGCTTGAAAGGCTGGTAGCCGAGAGCAGACTGCATGGTAGAGCTCAGCTCTGCCGCTTCCTAGCTGCGTGGCCTTGGGGAGGGACTTGTGTGTGTGTGTGAAATTTTATTTCATTTATTTTTATTTTATTTTATTTTATTTTATTTTATTTTATTTTGGTTTATTTTGGTTTATTTGAGAGAGAGAGAGCAAGTGAATGCAGGAGGGAGAGGGAGAGAGAATCTGAAGCCGACTCCATGCTGAGCACGAAGCCTGACAGGGGGCTCGATCCCATAATCCTGGGATCATGACCTGAACAGAATTAAGAGTCAGGGGGTGCCTGGGTGGCTCAGTTGGTTAAGCGACTGCCTTCGGCTCAGGTCATGATCCTGGAGTCCCGGGATGGAGTCCCGCATCGGGCTCCCTGCTCAGCAGGGAGTCTGCTTCTCCTTCTGACCCTCCCCCCCTCATGCTCTCTCTCTATCTCATTCTCTCTCTCAAATAAATAAATAAAATCTTAAAAAAAAAAAAAAATTAAGAGTCAGATGCTTAACTGACTGAGCCACCCAGGCGCCCTGAATTTAATTTTATTTTTGAGTAAATAAATAATAAACATGTTCACAATTTTTAAAAAAGATTTTATTTATTTGAGAGAGAGAGACAGAGATAGCACGAGTCAGGAAGAGAGGGAGAAGCAAACTCCCCGCGGAGCAGGGAGCGTGACGCGGGGCTCGATCCCAGGACCTTGGGATCATGATCTGAGCTGAAGACAGACACTTAACCAACTGAGCCACCCAGGTGCCCCTCACGAATTTTTTTTTTTAAGATTTTACTTATTTATTTGAGAGAGAGAGAGAGAGTGCATATGTGTGAGTGGGGGCAGGGGCGGAGGAAGAAGGAGGGTGAGAATCCCAAGCGGACTCCCCACTCAGTGCAGAGCCCTACTCAGGGCTCAGTCCCATGACCCTGAGATCATGACCTGAGCCGAAACCAAGAGTCAGATGATTAACTGACTGAGGCACCCAAGCGCCTCTATGTTCACAAATTTTAAAGCTCAAAGGATATAGAGAAAAATGCCCCCCCCTCCCCCCCCGCCCATCCAGACTCCCCTCTCCAGGGCTAGTCAGCATTAGTAGTTTCAGGGAAACTCTCCCAGAGATGCTTTTATATACAAGGACACGTGTTTAAAGTGACTTTTTGCCTACTTTTTTGCACAAATGACAACACACCGAGCTCAGGGCTCTACTTCGCTTTTTTAACTTACAGTATATTTTGGCAATTTTGCCATATGACTACCTAAAGTTCCGCCTCATTTGTTTATAACTTAGGTAGCTGACCTTACCTCTTTATGCCTCAGTTTTCCCATCTACAAAAGGGGAGTGATGATAGTATGTACCACACAAGGCCAGGGTGAGGTCGAAATGGTCATTGGTGTAAAATGCTCAGAACAGTGCCTGATGCATAACAAGTATTTATTAAATTATTATTAAGGAGAGCTATTGTTGTTATGCTGGCTGTACCCTGGGGACTCCTCAGCCCTTTATATCTTCAATCACCAAGTGAGGCCGAGACCTGTGTGCCAGGCTTTATGTGCATTATCTCATTTAATTCTTTACCGTCTTTAGCGTTAGATATCATGAGCGCCATTTTTACAGATGCAGAAACTGAGGCTTTGTCTGGTTATGTGATCTGTCCAGGGTTACTTAGTTAGAAAGTGGTAGAGGTCGGAATTGAATCCAGGGCCCTTTCTTCTTCTCTTGTCTCATCTCCCAATGTGTGCAGGTGGAGATGACCCCTGAGAAGTTCAGTGTGTTGATGGAGAAGCTCTGTAAAGAGGGGCCAGCAGCCACCACGTCTGTGGCCTATGCCAAGCTCATGCTGACAGTGATGACCAAGTACCAGGCCAATGTGAGTATTGGTAGGGCCATGAGGGCTGGCGCTGCTGCTCTTGAGTATGCCATGAGCGGGTACTTCTAGATGTTTGCCAGGGAAGACACCCTGAGTGTTAACCAGGGAAGCTACAAGTTCAAGCCTCGGACTGGGGCACGAGACTGCTTAGGAGTTCGTTCATCCAGCCCACACTGCTGTGAGCCAGATGCTGTGTGGGGCCCTGAGGAATCAACGGTGTCCATAACACAGTCCCTGTCCTTGACTTGACACTCTCCACTGGTGCCAGGCTAGTGAGGTGGGAGAGAGATGATAACCAGATCAGCATAGTATCTGGAAGGAGCCAGGCAAGAGGTGTGCGCGGGGCATTTGGTTGCAGAGGGGGAGGAGGCAACTAAACCTTGTTTGTGGTTGGGAGTTCGGACAGGCTGCATAGCTCTGAAAGGGTGAGTGGTGGCCAAGGGCCAAGACTGAGGAAAGGGCATTTCAGGCCAAGGAAACTGTATAAGCGATGAGCATCCAAGGGGATCTACAGGTAGTAGCTGAGGCCTAAAAACATGAGAGTGGATGGTGGGAGGGGTGAGGTTAGAGGTCAGAGTTAAAACACTGAGAGCTAATACCACAGAGCCCCTGCTACGGCTTGGGCACAGTTCGAAGCCCTTTGCTTATGTTAACTTGCTAGTTTATTCCGTGTGTTGGCCCAATGATAAAATACTATTATTAACTCCATTTTATAGATGATAAGTTGAAACCCAGAAAGATTAAGTGACCTGCCCAAGGTCCCATGGCCAGGCCATGCTAGCATCCTATGGAAGACCCTGTAGGTTATGATGAGGAGCATGGACTTTTATCTTGAAGGTCAGGTATCCTTGGCTGTTGGCTCTTTACCTTTTTGGGGGAGTCACAGTCCCATTTGATGACTTGATGAAAGCTATAGATCCTCCCAGAAAAATGAAAATCTGAACACACATCTTATGCGCAATTTCAGGAGGCTCCTGGATCCTCTGGAGACCCTGTAGATCCTGGAAGAAGGGACTGCAATATGAGACATAGGTAGTTATCCCAGGGAACTGCTGAAGCTTGAGTGACTTGGTCAGATTTGCATTTTATAAAGGAGTCTCTGGCATCTATAAGGAGTGGAGACTGGAGAGAAGATACATGGCAGAGACCTGTCAGGAGGTTGTAGTGGCAGGTCAGGGAAGAAATAGCAGGCCCCAGAAGGAATGTGGCAGCTACAACAGAGTATCTCTGACCCTCAGTTTTCTCATCTGTATAATGGGAGGGTTGTGCAGATTACATGAAATTATGTTTATAAAGTGTTGCTACGTAGTAAGCACCCAATAATTGTCATCTGTTATTAGTGTGGCTGACTTAGTAAGTTGTACAGTTAATATTTGACCCCAGGTCCACTTGAACACAAAGACCTTGTATAATCATGGTGAAGTAAAAGTAATGCGTTTAGATATCTCCTCCATTATCCTTGTGTCCTGATTCCTCTCTCTTTCCTCCTAAACAGTGCCATGGGGCAGAGGGGAAAGGGTTGCTGGAGTCCTGATATGATTCTTCCTTCTCCCCAGATCACTGAGATCCAGAGGCAGGGCCTGGCCACAGCCCTAGAGCTCAACACCACTTTCCTGAGGAAGTCCCTGAAGGCCGCCCTGAGACATCTGGCCCCCTGACCATGCACTAAGGGACCACACTCCGGGAGCTCCCTCACCAGCTGCCTGAAGGATACTTCTGCCCTCAGCACCTCACCCTGACCCCTTGCCTGGGGGTAAAGGCTGAGGTCCGCTGCCTCCCTGCTCCAGGACGCAGAGAGGACATCTTGGCCTCCCAGCCAGCAGGGAAGGTCCTGGGCTAAGCAGCCTTGATGAGCTTTATTTCCAAGGGATGCTGACCTTGGGCTCACTCCTTGTCACTTTTACTTCAGACTGTGGGGACAGAAACTTTCAGAAAGGCCTCAGTAGGGTCAAAGCAGACCTAGGTAGATGAATGATGCTTCAGGATCCCTGAGTTGACCTGTGTCCTCAGCACAAATATCTTGCACCCAAGTGTATGTTATGACCCTCTGTGTTCTGACTTGGATAATAATTTATTAAAGAGCAGGTATTTAATAAAAAGCAGGAAGTTTTAATATTTTCTTCAAAGCAGCGTCTGCCTTCCTATGAACTCTGGGTATTTGTTGAAAACCAACAGACACCACCACCACCCACCCTACTCAGTGACAAGGGGCATCTTTTTCCTGGTGAAGGTGACAAAGTTCTCAAGTTCATTCATTCATGTTCTTGGCGATGATGTGTGATGCCACTCCGCTCAGCCCTATCAGAGCTGTCTGTTGAGTAGGTGAAGTGTGCACTGACCCCTGGGGAATGGGGCCTTGAAGGTGGGTGCAGCTGTCTGGAGTTGGAGAAGGTTTGTTCATAGTAAACACTTAACTGGGTAGGTGTGATTCAATCAACTATCAACTACCTTCCCAGCTCTTCCCCCACTGCAGGCTTCGAGGGGCCGGGAACAGAACTTTCATGACATTTCCCTTCTCATGACTTCTCTGAAACCATGAGCCCCAGAGCAAGATGATGAGGGAGAGATCAGGAGTAAAGCCTGCTTTTGCGACCCGAAGCAGGGGCGGTGGGAAGAAAAGGGTGGAGGGACAAGCATGCGGGAACTGCACGCTCTCAGCGGCCATCACGCTGCGGTGCCCAGGACCGGCCTCTTAAGTGGCCAGCAGTAGCTGGCGCGAACGGGGATATTCTCCGCGTGCCACGGGGCGCCCGGACCGCCGCACCGCCTCGCCTTCGAGCCAGTCTAAGTTGTGCAACGCGCGGCAGCGCCCTCTAGCGGCAGCAGACGGCGGCGCTCCCCGGGATTGAGCCGACCCGGCCGCTCTCGGGAGGAAGCTACAGGAAAAGGCATCTCGCGAGAACAAGAGCCTTATTTGAGCGCATGCGCGAACCCCATTGCTTTCTTTTTCGGTGACTGCGGCGCGAAGAGCCATGAGGTGAGTGGCGCTCAGGGAGCCATCCGCCCCCATCCGCGATTCCTGGCACCCTGGTAGGATGGGAAACTTGCGGGCTGAGTCGGAGGTGGTCTTTGGCCCTGTTTCGCTCGTCCTGCAGCCCCAGGCCCCCGGTAGGGTCTCTCTTCCTCGGGGCTTGTCGTTGTCGCGCCCAGTCGCCCGACGTGGTGTCCGGAATCCCCTCGGGTGGGGTGCGTCTGGAGGCCCGAGGCTTCCGACCACGCCGAAGCCTCCAGGTGCCGAGCGCTCGTCTTGCGTCTCTCCCGCAGCAGCAAAGTCTCCCGCGACACCCTGTACGAGGCGGTGCGGGAAGTTCTGCACGGGAACCAGCGCAAGCGCCGGAAGTAAGCCGGGCTCGGGGGAGGGCGGCGGCGTGCAGGCCGCGGGCGGCCGCCTGACTCGGTCGCCTTCTCTCAGGTTTTTGGAGACGGTGGAGCTGCAGATCAGCCTGAAGAACTATGACCCTCAGAAGGACAAACGCTTCTCGGGCACCGTCAGGTTGGCACCGCTCTGACCCCACCCAGCCCTCCGTGCGCCCCCGTGCCCGTCGCCACCCTCCAGGCTCCTGTTGAGCTTGAGACGGGCGGGCGCGGGGGCACGGACGCGCCTGGGTCGTTCAGACCCCTGCCCCGCGCAGGCGTGGCTGGACGGACCCCCACCCTGGGTCTTAAAATAAGAGGGGAGGCGTGGGGAGGCCTTGGCCGAGCCCGCCGGCTAGTTTGAGAAGCCAGACTAGCTGTTGGTGAATGTGGACGTTCTGGGTAAGGCTCCGTGGCTGCAGCGGCCCCAGACCCCTTCACCTGCTTTCGGAACCCCAGGCTGGGCTTGACCTGTTCTGTCCCCCAAAACGCAGGCTTAAGTCCACTCCCCGCCCCAAGTTCTCCGTATGTGTTTTGGGGGATCAGCAGCACTGTGATGAGGCCAAGGCAGTGGATATTCCCCACATGGACATTGAGGCGCTGAAGAAACTCAACAAGAATAAGAAATTAGTCAAGAAGCTGGGTGAGTGTGCCTTAGGGTGGTTTTGTGTTTGGGCAGACAGTTGTCATGGGAGTGGTGGAAAAGTGGCAGTGCTGCCATCTGGATTTTAAAATGATGGAAGAGGGTGCAGAGAATCATGATGGAAGAGATTGCTGTGGTGGGTTAACTTGAGTGATGGTTTTTAACCTTTTAAAGATTGCTTTTTAGATTTGCTTTGAGGATTCTTCTAAACAGGGGAGCTCCCCTAAGTTGACCAGTCAGGTGCTGGTATGTTCTGAAATAGGATGTCTACTTAAAGCTCTGTTTCTTATTTTTTTTCCATCTTTATCCTATGTGGTGGAGGCATTTCACAGATAGGAAACTGGTACCCTGGTTGTCCTGTAACTAGGAAGTAGGCAGGCAGGATTTGAACTCAAGCAGTCTTAACCAACGTGTGCATTTATTATTGGAACATGAGGAGAGTGGGTCAGCCTGGGCTTCTGACACCAGGTTTCATGTGAATGTTGGGCCAGTAAAAGTTCAGGGGATAGAGATAAGCTGGAATGAGGAGAGGATTAAAAAGACTTGGTACGTGGAGAAGAGGAGTAGAGCGTGGTGCTTAGAGGCCACTCTTGTGGTTGGTTGCCGGAGCTCTGTTTGGAGCTTGCCTTCGAGAGGCCAGATCCTAAGCATCCAATGGCTTCTTTTTACCAGCCAAGAAGTATGACGCCTTTTTGGCTTCAGAATCTCTGATCAAGCAGATTCCACGAATCCTGGGCCCAGGCCTGAATAAGGCTGGAAAGTTCCCTTCCTTGCTGACCCACAATGAGAACATGGTGGCCAAAGTGGATGAAGTAAAGTCCACCATCAAATTCCAGATGAAGAAGGTAAGGAGGTCTGACTGGGTTGCATAGCTTGGTTAAGCCGTGGTGGTGGTGGTAGGCACCACCAGTCCTGAAGTTTACCCCCATTCTCCAGATGGGAGCCCTGGTTTGCCTTTCTGTGGATACTTCGGACATGTGACAGTCACTGGGCAGAATTGAAGTTTTTCACATAGCCCTGGTCTTCCTGGCCTGGGGTCAGAGTACCCGTTCGTAGGGTCACTGGAGGGGTGGGGAGGGATGGGCCTGTAGATGTGCCTACTCGGGTTCTTCTCCATCTAGCCGTCAGCCTGATTTGACCTCACTCTTCCCGCAGGTGCTGTGTCTGGCAGTGGCTGTTGGCCATGTGAAGATGACGGATGACGAGCTTGTGTACAACATCCACTTAGCGGTCAATTTCCTGGTGTCCTTGCTCAAGAAGAATTGGCAGAACGTCCGGGCTTTATACATCAAGAGCACCATGGGCAAGCCCCAGCGCCTGTACTAAGGCGCACAGTTCAATAAATCCTGGTGCTGCCCTCACCTGCCTGCCTGTGACTGGGAGAGGGAGGTGCTTTGTGAGCTGACACTGCATGCCATAGCACTGTGCTGGTGACGCAGTTCCTGGCACCCACGGGTGGGTGGTCATGTTCTCCGTGCTGCACACCCGGAAGTACATTCTGTCTACCTTCGAAGCCATGTGGTCTTCAGAACTCTGGGATACTTTATAACATGTAACGGGCTGCTAACCAGGACTGAAGCTTTTCTGAACCCTGAGAAGGGCAGATCTGGGCTAAGACTCCAGCCTGTAGTGCTCCCATTGCTTGCTAGTGGAAGGGGAGGGGTAGGACCTTCACATTTTGAGGACATTGACTCTTTTCTCAGCAGCATGCTTAATCTATGGCCTGAAGTTGCCTCTCTCTAACCATGATTTCTTTCATGGGCTTCTTGTTTTAGCCCTCTGAATTGTGCATTTGGGCTTTTGGTAGGGCTCACAAAGAATGTTGGGTTCCTAGATTCTAAAAGATGGGAGGGGTGCACAACCCTGATTTGCTTGTCTGACCCTAAATTAAATACTCTGTATTCAGGCTAGTAATTTACTCTATGAGATGCTTAGGAAAACACAAGTAGACCTGTAAAATAATGTAATTGCCCCTGTTTTCTAGGGGAGTTTAACAAATGGGTAGAATCAGGCTGTGGAAGCTTAGGCCGTCTGCTCTCCAGGTATGTAGGCTCTGCCCTCTTCCTGACCTGAGGCACTTCCCTGTTGCGGGTGAGGGGGGGTTGTTTTCTTTAGATTTTATTTGAGAAGGAGCAGGGGGAGAGGGAGAAGAAGACTCCCCACTGAGCAGGGAGGCTGATGCAGGGATCCCTGGGATCGTGACCCGAGCCAAAGGCAGACTGAGCCACCCAGGTGCCTCTTCCCTGTTGGGAGTTCTTGCCTCCAGCACCTATTACTGGGAAGTTGGGTTCTGGTATGGGAAACCTGTGATTTGATTTTAAGTTAGTAACTTCGTAATTTTGCTTAAAGGTAAAATGGTTACAACCTAATCTTGGAATGAGTCTTGAGTTTGGGTTCCAGGGTTAATAGGTGTAGTTTGCTCCTTCCTCTGTTCTGTTAAAGCGTTAGAAAGGAGTGATAAAATACCTATGCTTGTCAGACAATGTTCCAGACAGGGAGGGAAAAAAGCTGGCATATAAAACTAGTTGGGACCCAATTTTATTGAAAGGAGAGAGTTTATGCAGAGTAAAAGTGATCGGAAGTTTCCATATCAGAATGTTGGCCATGCTTAACTCAGGAAGAAAAATGATTGGGATTTTCTGAAGTTCTATGAGCTTTGTAATCAGAAGAAAAACTAAGGCAAAAGGGGTATTTTGAGGACTAAGTGTAATCAGAAATGGCATCTGTCCAGCCTCACAGTGTGTGCTCTCAGGCTGAGAGCCACGAGGCAGAAGCCTCAAGTCCTCAAAGTTCGCTAAGCTGGGCCCCAGCCGCATGGCTAGCAGCCAATCCTGAGGGCCTCGGTGGGCAGGGGGTCTGAGCCTGAGACCGGAGACACGTTTCTGTTCCACCAGCGGCCGCGCTGTCCCGACAGTAGCTGTGGAGCGAAGGGTTTTAAAGGCAGTTTCTCACTTCCCATGTCTGCTCAACTGTTTAGTGGGTGCAAGAAGGCCACCCCGTGATTGCCTGCGGGCAGAACCCTTCCCACTCCCTGAGTTTGAATCCCAGTTCTCCATTCAGGAGGCCTGTGAGCCTGTTGAGTTGCTCAAAACGGTTTCCTCACCTGAAAGTGCAGATGACGGCACCTAAGACTGTAGGACCACATTCAGAGCATTAACGTGTTTTGTGCGGTGCCAGGCTCTAAGCGCTCGAACAGCAGCTGTGAAGTGGCAATCACGCGTGGCTATAGACAGATGGGCTCCGGCCCCAGTGCACACACACCTGCTTGTCTGGCTCAGTTGGGTTCAGGTGCTGAGGATTGGGGAGAACAAGGGGGCTTCAAAATTAGTCCCGCCTTCCTGTTGGAACTGAGCCAAGGAGTAAGCCTTTTTTAGTAGTTGTGGAAACGCGAGGGCAGGGCAAGGCGGCGTTTCAGAAATACTTGGGAACTTGAGTCTTCCCGGATTCTTGATTTGAGTCCCGTGGATTTAAATCACCCATTCTATCAAGCCTTAACGCCCTGGGGTGGGAGTCCTTAAAAACCCACTATGTTAAGCAAATGCTGACTCCCTGCTTTCTGCTGGGCTGTGGGGAATCCGCAGAGCCCAGTGCCCGCTCTCCCAAGGCCCACAGCACCACAAGAAAGAGGAGTAGGCAGGAGAAGGGAAGGCAAAGGGAAAACGTGTGGAGGCCGACTGATTCCACTGTGAATGAAGTTGGCTGTTTAACCAAGTCCCAGCCTCTGGGATGATTAGTCTAAGGCTTAGTGTGCACCTGGTTAGGATTCAGAGTTCAGCTATCTGGAGAGCCCCAGTTCTCAGGCATTTGTGCTACAGGGAAATAAAGAGCCCCCGTGAAACCTCAGAATGGTGCCTAGGCCTTGAGTGTGGCATTGACCACCAAAATGGCATTCCTCCCTCTTCCCTGGGAACATCAGAACGGGCACAGGGCAGGAAAGACAGAACTACAGTCCTGGTCTTTGAGGTCCAGCCATCTTGGCCCTTCCTTAGAGCTTCCCACAGAACCCGGAGCAGGGGAGAGCCACGTCCAGGAGAGGGCCCTAGGCTTTGGGCTCACAAGATTTACCTTCTTATTCTGGTTCCTTCTTTACTTTGGGACCTTGAAACTACTCATCGCCGACCTCTAGCTCTGTTACATTGGGGAGGGGGGGCAGTAGCGGGGCAGGGCGGAGTGGGGTCAGGAGACAAGCTAGGAGGCCAGCCATATTTCACTTGAGTTCTACATGAGACCTACGTGATTCTAAAAGAAATTACCTGAAGGCTGTTTACTCCGGGAGAGTGAAGGCAACAACGCACGTGATGATGCCTCAAGCACCCAACAGACTGAATTACCTGTTAGCCCAGAGATTGGATTTTGCATCCAGCCTTACGCCTGGCACACGGTGGGTCCTTCATAAACCACTTTCTGACCCAGGACCCCCACCTACCTGCCTGGGGCTCCAGGCACCGTCCCCATCCTGCAAGTGACAGCCTGGGGTCCATCCAATGTTGTGGACTAAGAAAAGGCTACCTGATGATTTAAATTGTCAACCATGTGCATGGACTTGGGAGTCGGGCTGACCAGATTCAAATCTTGGTGTAGCCAGTGACTGGCTCGGTGAAGAGAACATTTAACTTCAGTCTGTCTCCCCATTTGCAAACTTGGATCAATGATCTAGAAGACAGTAGATTCTAGAGTAGGGTTGCCAGATGTAGCAAATGAAAATACAGGACGCTCATTTAAATCTGAACTTCAGACAAACAACGCAGGTCTCCTCCCCCTCCTGTGGTCCCTGTGGTATGTGCACAAGCCAGCTCAGAGAGGAGAGCAGGGCTCTCCCAGGCAGACAGGAACAGGTTGGAATCTGGCTTCCCCTCCTAGCAGCCATCCCCTTGGGAGAACACTCGTCCTCCTTGAGGCTCTCTTCTCTGCTCTCAAGTGAGGATAGGACAGTGAGAACCAGTAGCAGCCATCATGAAGACTGGGGAGCTAGGAGGGGCTCCGTGTCAGTAGTTGTGTGACCTTGGGCAAGTCACTTCAAAGAGACAATTTAACAACTGAACCTAGGCCAGCACTGGGCACATTTCAGCACTCAACTCACGGCAGGAAGGGGTCAGAGAAAGGGAGTGTGCAAAGCTTTTATGGGATCTTTGAATCATACCTATTTTGAGTGTGGGTATGGTGTGGGCCCCCCCAGCAGAGATGGGGGAGGGTGGGGTGACACACCAGGACCTAACCTAGCGGGAGGACCCACACAAAGCTAATCCAGCCCAGAGAGGTCTGCCACACGCTAGTCACACAACTAACCCACAAACAAATAACTTTAATTTTTTTCTTTTTTTCTTTTTTTTTTTGGAGCAGGAGCCGGGCCTTGAGGACCCCTGCCCCAGCCCCGCGCCACGTTTATGATATAACCCATCACAGCTGGATTTAAAAAATACACAAAAAAATATAATATACATTATAAAACCTAGGTTGGGTTTGGAAGTGGCCTGAGCAATATGCAAACTGTGAGGACCTTCAGGAAGCTCAGGGGCGGGCGGTGTACGGAAGGGAAGGGGCACAGTACTTCATATGAAACTCGTCAATGCCCAGAGGTGGCTGGTAGACAGGCCAAGCTGGCTGAGGGCTCTGGCTGTTGGGGAGGAGCAGCAGGGGAAGGGTGAACCTTCAGTCCCAGAACTGGCTCTGGGGAGCTGCTACTCCAGGCCTGGGAGACTGGAGGTGGAGAGAAACGTAAGGGACTGGTGCCCACCGAGGGCTCACCAAACCCAAGTGTTGGGCATTTGAAAACATCAAATCCTTCTGCTACCCCTTGTCCCTGGGACACTGGTCTGCCCAGAGGCTGGGACTCCCATCTTCCTACTTGACCCTCCAAGTTATTTTGGAGCCTGACCCCGGGGGCCTTCTCCTGTCAGGAAGGTGCTGAGGGGCTCAGGCCCCGGATGTGGGCCGGAGCAGCTTGGAGGAGGTCGGCACAGGGGCTCCCAAGGCCCTGGCTGCACTGTGGGCTGACAGAGGGCACCTAACAGGTGCCAAGCACCTGCTGCTCCTCTTTTCCTGCCTAGTCAGAAGCAGCTGCTCCCCTGGGAGGAGGCCCCCAACCTGGCTGGCCCCAGCCCCCAGTACAGACCGTCTCTCCCACCCCCTGCGGCTGGCCCCCCACTCCAGGGAGGCAGTGTATACCTGGGCTCTGGGGACAGGCAGCCCCGGATGAGAATTCCAACTCCGCCCCCCTTGCTGGGTCCCTCGACTTCTCGGAGTTTCAGCCCATCATGAGACACCAAGACCCACGCTTGCCTTGCCCGGTCTGAGAACGGCGCCAGGCACACAGAGGGCCTAGCACCAGGCCTGGCACACCACAGGTGCAAGAAAGTGGGGGCCCCTCTCTCTCCTCACCCTAACCCCAACTCGACACTCTCCTTCCTGGGGCCTCTGCACTCTCACCTCCTCGATCTCCATTCTACCCTCCCCTGCTGGCCACACATGCCTGAGCCCGAAGGGGTCGGATCCGCTCACTGGAGGCTGGGCAGAGCTGGGTGATGGTTCAGCGTCTGGGGCAGGCTGCCCCACCACGGAGCCCTCTTCTCCCACAATTAAAGCGCAGAACAGTGGCAGGGAGTGTGTGTGCTGGGGGTAGGTGGAGAGGCCTCCTGGGTCCTGGGCCTGAGGCCTGGCAGGCGGGTGAGTCCTCAATCCAGACCTCCGGGGGGCGGGGGGGGAGGGGCCAGGCAGGTGTGTGGAAAAGATGCTTGTCCTGGATCCTGGTGCTGGGGGCCAACAGTGGCCTAGTCTTTGACGAGCTTGTAGACATGGTGCTGGGCCCCGTGCTCGCTGGTGGAGACTTCAAAGACGAAAGCAATGACAAGCAGGGTCTCCTGGGAGTCCCGGCTCGTGACCACCTGGGGACCAGGTAGGAGGATGCAAGGGGTTAGGCGGCACAGGGCCACGGGGGGCGGGGGGGCAGGGGCTGAGAAGGGGGCCATGGGGCTAGCCACCCCCACTTTGAGGCCCCGTGCCCCCCACGTGCCCTGCTGCCCCCCCCACCTGCAGGATGGTGAAGTTCTCCAGGACGCTGTTCATCATGTACTTCTCCGGCAGGTGCTTCAGCTTGTGGATGAAGTTGATCATGTACTCGCACATGGGGGAGCGGTGGATGCGGTACACGAAGCGCCCGTTCTCCAGCCTGGCATACTCCGTCTGCGCACAGCCGCGGGGAAGGTGTCACCCCCACATGCCTGCTCCCGGCCCCTCCTGCCACCCTGGGCCCCCACTCACCTCTACCTTCTCCACCACCTGTTTGCCAAAGGAGCACACCTTGGTGGAGACGCTGATGGTCATGCTATCTGCTGAGCTGTACTGAGAGCTGACCCCATAGAAGGCTCCAGGGCCCTCCTGGATGGTGCTGTTGAGGTCGGCCTGGAGCGGGGGGGTGAGCCGGGGTGGCCTCAGGTGCGGGCAGAGGCCAGGGGGAGGCTTCCCGCCGCGCCACGTCCGTGTTTAGCCCCAGGACCCATCCCCAGCACCCTGCCCACGGGCCATAGGGTCCCCGGTGGGCGGGGGGGGCCCAGGTGCGCTGCGCATGCTGGGGATGGGGTTGTTGGAAGCACAGAGGGCAGCTCACCCAGAACTTGACAAGGAAGAAGGCGTTCGGGGGCCCCTTCTCATAGAGTTCCTTCAGTCCACCCTTCTTCTCAGGGAACTTGTCGTAGATCTGACGCACGTCGACGGCCTCCAGCGGCGGGTCTGAGAAGGCGGGGTTCGTCTGGCCGATGTGCACAAATAGGTGTTTGCTGTACTGTGGGGAGGGCCCAGTACGGGGTCAGGGGAGCACTCAGGACACGACTGCCCCGGGGCTTCCCACGCCCAGGCCCCTGAGCCGCGGCCCTGAACCACAGGCTCGCACAAACCCTCACCCCCCACCGCCAGGCACGTTACCGTGTCAGGGTCTCGCTGCACCTCCATGAAGGCTGAATACTCGAGGAGCCGCAGCCGGGAGGAGGCGATGGTGCGGTCCTGCCACACGGGCACAGAGGCAGCAGCTGGGGGGAGCGGGGTCAGGGGCTCGTAACCTGGGAGGGCGAGATGGACCCTCATCTGCATGGGCGTGTGCGCATGCTTACGTTCGGAGCTGCCCCCCCAGCTGCACTGAGCCACTGGGCAAACTAGAAAATGGCGCCCCTTTCGGGGAGGAACACAGGCTGGATTTTGAGCCCTCTGCCACGCCTCCTTGCACAGTGTGCAACCTGCACAACTGTGAACGGTGGGCCCAGTAGCATACATGGGGGGTGGTGGTTTATATGTCACTATTAATGTGTGTCCAAACAGAAAATGCAGTTGAGTAAAAAGGGAAAAATAGTAATTATCCCGAATCCCAATACCTAGACAGAGTGATACTCTGTTAAGATTTTGGTGTATTTCTTTTTTTTTTTTTTAAGATTTTATTTATTTATTTGAGAGAGAGAATGAGATAGAGAGAAAGAGCATGAGAGGAGGGAAGGTCAGAGGGAGAAGCAGACTCCCTGCTGAGCAGGGCGCCCAATGCAGGACTCGATCCCAGGACTCCAGAATCAGGACCTGAGCCAAAAGCAGTCGCTTAACCAACTGAGCCACCCAGGCGCCCTTTGGTGTATTTCCATAGACGAATTTTACAAATATATATCAATGTAGTATCTTCACTGGTGTGTACAACACTGTGAAAGGTAAGGGGCCTGTTCGTGGCCTTCCCAATCCCCTACAGATGCCACACACTTCTCCCTCCCAAACACAGGCACAGCCTTGGGCGCCCGCTCTTCTGAGCAGTGATGCAGGTGTGGAGGGGCGGAGGGGCGGCGGCGGCGGTCTCGTGTGGGGAACTTACTGCTGAGCGTGGGCGGCAGGGGCGGCTGGATGGGGTAGGCTGGCTGTGCAAAGGGCTTGATGCTGCGGACAGGAGCACAGCCTGGTTAGAGGGTCACCCCCCAGCCCCACCTTCCACCTGGTCCCGTCACCTGGGAGCGTCATCTGGTCTCGGAGCCACCCCGCCTTTCTGCAAAGGCCCAGAAATGCACGCCTGCAAGCTAACTCACCCGCTTTGGGTTTTCTCCACATTTGGGCTTTTATGAAACCCTGCTGCATCTCACAACTGAGGTGCACGCTTAATGTGGCCTTTCAACCCCACCCTGAGAGCTGCTCATTAAACTGAGGGTGTGTCTGCGGATGCAAGTCCTCTCAGGACCCAGGGAACCGAGCAGCCTCGACTCCCCCACGTGCTGACTCGGAGACCCACCGACAGCGACGGAGGGAGAAGTAACCGAAGGGCGGCCGGACGGACAAGTGGATGAGGAGGCTGATGAATGAACAAACAAGTGAATGGAAAGACAGACGCACGGCTCTCTTACTGGTGCTCTCCATCCTCTAGTTCTGAATTAAAACTTGGCTCAGCTGTTGCTGGCACCCGGCTCATAGGGGGGGTCCCAGCGGCCGCCAGGGCCCAGGGTGGGAGAGGGCTGGACCTCGATACTCACTCCTGAGAGGGTCCAGGCTGCTGTCCCAGGAGAGGGGGGCTGCTCCAGAACTGCAGGGAGGGGACAAAGCCCGGCGGCCCCTCAGCATCCACCACCCTGCCACCGCCCAGCCCCGAAGGCACTCCCTCACCTCAGCGCCCCCATACCCGTGAGGAAGTGGAGAAAACGCCTTGGGGCAGAGGGGAGGGCGGGCTGAACTTGTTCTGTAGGACGCTGGCGGAGACGATCTGGGCGGACGACATGGATGCCATGCTCTGGAGGGCCTTGTCCTTGGAGACCTGGTCCTGGGGAGGGGAGAGGCCGCGTGGGGACGGGCCAGGTCAGAGACCGGGCGGGGGCTTGCCTCGCCTCGGGGCCCCTCCAGGCCCTCGGGGCTCTGTTGTGTGGGCTTGGGAGAGTCTCAGCCCCTGCCTGGGCCTGTCTCCTAAGAGGACCTCACTCCTCTGAGTCCAGTCCACGGTAAGAAATTTTATTTTATTCCATAACCCAGTATATACCTGAGCACTTCCCCTCATGTTGTGTGGCATGCACTCTCCTATTTCCTAGTCTGTTTCATCAGTGGTTCTCAAAGTATGGTCCGTGGACCAATGGCACCACCATCACTGGAAGCTTGTTAGAAATGCAAAGTCTCGGGCCCCAGCCCAGACCTACTGATTCAGAAACTCTGGGGGTGAAGCCCAGAAATTTGTCTTCACCAGCCCTCCCGGCGATTCTGATGCATGCTCAAGTTTGAGAACCACTATATCTCATTTTAAAACAATGTTGGTTGCCAACCTATTAAATTAATTTCACAATTCATAATTTGGAAATCCTGTGTTAGATGTTCTCCCCCTCCCACATCGTCCCCCAGGGGAGGGAGGGGCAGGCTACTTACCAGGTTCATGGCCTGTGAAGGAGAGGGAAGGTAGATTAGAAGAGGCACACGTGAGGTCCATGCAGGGTGGGGACACGCCCTCTCACCCCCCTCCACTCAACGGCCACCTGGCTCTCAGGTCTGAGGAACCCATGGGAGCTCAGAGGCAGCTGTGGACGCTCCCCCAACCCCATTGCTACCCAGGGGGAGGAGGGCTTGCTAGCTGGGGGTGCCCTGCAAAGGGCAGGATGAGGGAGGGCAGGCTGGAGACCTAGAGGGTGGACCGTGCTGTCGCCCCTGGGGTCTGTCCGCGTCCTCTGGAGCTGTGATATAGGCACAAGGGCCCGGAGCGGGAGGCCCAGTCTGCTGCGCAGCCGGGAAGCAGGTAGAAAACACGGCCTACAGGGCCCCTGAGCCCCATGCTCTGAGAGCCTCAGCTGCGGAGCAGCCAGGATTGGGCGTCCAGTGCAAGGGACAGCCAGGCCCACCACCATAAGTCTGCCAGCCGATGCGCCCATGTCTCCTCCCTGCCCATCTGAAGGCCCCGTGCAATTAACAAGCAGCAATCAGGAGGAAGGAGAAAAAGGAAAAGGAAGAAGAAGAGAGGTGGGCCCTAGTGGCCCCCAGATGGTCTTCCTCTCCCTCACTGTAGGGCTGGCTGTCCCCCTGGGCTTCTGCTTAGTCTACAGGGGCTGTGGCCCTCTGTAGCCCGAAGTGGCCTCTGGGCTTCATGCTGCTCTTTGTGTTTGAGACACCCTCCACCCCACCACAGCCCTTCAGCCACCTCTCTGCCCTGCGCTCAGAAAACAGCAGGGCCAGGCCAAGTGGCAGGGGACCCCCTACCTTCAGCTTGGACTGAATCTCTCGAGATTTCCGCCTGGCTAGAACCTGCAAGTGGCTAGAGACCTGTAGAAAGAGAGAGAAAGAGAGAAAAAGAGCAGAAAGGGCAGAAGAGGCAAGAACAGAGCTTTAGCCAGAAAAGAGGCACAGTGGGGCCAAAGAGGTGGCCGCGGCAGAGGCCTGAGCCGTGCAGAGAGCGGTGGAGGCGCCGAGGAGGGACTGGAGGCCCTAGTCAGGCGCCCAACGTACCTTGATGCCAACCTGGTACTCCCGCACCTTCTTCCGAGCTAGAACCTGTATGTGGCTGGACACCTAGGGGCCGCCCCGCGCCCCGCCAGAGAGGAAAACACAGACAGTGAGGAGGCACAGCATGGGGTGGCCATGGGCAAGGAGCATCCCAGCCCTCGTCTCTGGGAACAAATGGAAGCAAGGGGGAACTATGGGGCCCTTGTGAACAGACACCCCTGAGCCCTGCCAATTCTCTGCTCCCTTCTTGGTCCTATTTTGATCAAGAGCCTACAGTAGCCTTTGGTACCACCATGTACAGTTGTATAGGTTGTTCAGTGCACAAGAGGATCTAACCTGGTAAGGGCTAAAATCCAGCCCAAGCTCTGCTGCTCAAGTTATGTGCCCTGGTACTGGGCTGCTTCTAACCCAGAGGAAGGGTATCTTTTTATTTTTCCAAAATGGGTGACTTTTCCCTCACTGATATCCTTAGAAGAGACACCGTTTTCTTGCCTTTTTTTTTTTTTTAAAGATTTCTTTATTAATTCAAGTAATCTCTACACCTAATGTGGGGCTCGAACTCACAACCCCGAGATTAAGAGTCGCATGCTCGGGTGCCTGGGTGGCTTAAGCGTCTGCCTTCGGCACAGGTCATGATCTCAGGCCCCTGGGATTGGGCTCCTTGCTTAGCAGAGAGCCTGCTTCTCCTTCTTCCTCTGTCTGCCGCTCCCCTTGCTTGTGCTCTCGCTCTCACTACCTCTCTCTCTCTCTCTCTCTGTGTGTCAAATAAATAAATAAATAAAATCTTAAAAAAAAAAAAAGAGAGAGTCGCATGCTCTAGTGACTGAGCCAGCCAGGCGCCAGAGACACTTTTCTCTGATTGGCATCACCAATGGCCATAATGCTCGTGCTGGCCATCAGAGCATACATCGGGGCCATGTCCTCTACGAAAGCGCTCCCCGCACCACTGCCTGAGTCCTCATGTCACCCCAATAGCTTGCCAGCCTATCAGACCAGGCCTGGCCCTGTTCCTGTTCTGCTCATTCAGCTTCTTCACCCAACATGCCTTCCTTCTCCCTGGACTAATATATGGCAGGAGACACACACACACACACACACACACACACACACACACACACACAAGGTAGGTGCTCTTAATAGCAGTTCTCCAGCACATTGTCAAAGGTCTGACCCTTAAGCCTCAGAGAACCTAAATGTCCCTATTTTCCCCACGAAACAGGAGGGGACACATGGTTCCCCGAGGCTGCTTCACACTCATGATCCACAATGGCTGTGGGCTTTCTTTGCAAGTTGTTTTTATCCCCACACAGTTTCTTTTTCTTTTTAATCATAGACCGAAAGTTACTGTGTATGTGATGCCCCGGGGCCCCCTGCTAGTTGGTTAGGACCCAGGTGGATGTGCCCCATACCGTCTCATCGGGCACCAGAATCAGACGTCTGTCCAGCAAGATTACCCATCACTTCATATCATGACAAGCAGTGACATTTATTGAGTAGCTATGATTTTACATGTACTTCCTCTAACCCTTACTAAGAAGTCAGTACTAACATTATCCCCCAAGTTACAGATGATGAAACCAGCACACAGAGAAGTTAAGCAGTTTATCCAAGGTCACACAGCTGGGGGCTGGAGCTGGGATTTGAACCTAGGTGGCCTGACTCCCGAGCCTACTTGCTCCACCACCAAGCTACGCTCCCAGGATTCTTCTGACCCTTAGCACAGAGGACCACTGCCAAATGGTCAAGTCTGTGACAGCTGAAAGTCACATGGGACTTAATCCTAATGTAATATTGAGCTGTTTTTCCAGTACGGAGGCATCACACTTGCTATTATTGCTGTACGTATCTGTAAAACCCCTAACTGCATTTTTTTTAACCAAAAGTAAAATAGAACCCCTTGCCTGTCATCTGGTTGCTCTTTGCAACACATAAAGACATGCTTTGCCCTCACAAACATAGGATGGGTCTATCTTGTCTTACTACCTACCTACCTATCTAATTTTTCTTAAGGCTTTATTTTTTTAAGTAAGCTCTACACCCAGTGTGGGGCTCAAACTCACGACCCTTAGATCAAGAGTCGTCCACTTTACCAACTGAGCCGGCTGGGCGCCCTGGCTTTCTGTTTATTAAGGCGTAGTAATAATCACAATAGCAGTGGTACATTCTTCTATAGCGCTTAGCTAATTTAATGGCCGAGGACCAGAAGCTGAGGGGCAAAGCACCCCTTGCCCACAAGTAGGGGTGAGGGTATTTGTACCTGGGGGTTTGATTCATCAGCCCTCCTCCTACAGTCCCAGGCGCCAGGGAACAGGGCCCCTGTCTGTGGGGTTCCCCTGGGTAGCCCCAGTGCCTAGCACATAGTCATAGCTCAAGAATTCGCTCACTGCGGGGCGCCTGGGTGGCTCAGTCGTTAAGCGTCGGCCTTCGGCTCAGGTCATGGTCCCAGGGTCCTGGGATCGAGCCCCGCTTTGGGCTCCCTGCTCCACGGGGAAGCCTGCTTCTCCCTCTCCCACTCCCCCTGCTTGCGTTCCCTCTCTCGCTATCTCTCTCTATGTCCAACAAACAAGTGAATAAATAGAATTCGCTCACTGAATAAACCTGTCCCACATAAACTGGCCCCGGGAGAGAGGTTCATAAATGCCTGAGCAAATGGGGGAGGCTCCTGCTCCCACAGAGGGGGTGGACTCGGAACCTGCCTTTGAGACGGCGGAATGGGGCATGGCGCCTCTGTCATCCGCACACATGGGGATCTGGGGAGGTGGGTGCAAGGTCCAAACCCCAGCAGACAGGGAGGCTGGGAGAGCCGAGGGTCAGAGGCGGCTTCCAGTCCTCCGGTCTCTGCGCCCAGCCTGCCTCTCTCTGGGGCACCCCGCACGTCAGCCACCCCAACCAGCCCCCTTTCTGGGTTCCCTCCCGGGACCGGAAGCCACCCAGTCATCTCTCCATGCCCCCACTGCCGCTGGGGACCTCCGTCCCTGCCTCTGCCCAGCCCTCCCTCATCCACGGCCCAGCTGCTCCAGGGCCAACATTCCTCGACAGATGCCACCCGCCACTCCCTGTTCTAGTCCCTTCCATGGCACCCAGCTGCCCCAAGGGGAAACCTGTCCCTCAGGCCTCCGGCCAACCTCTCTCCCTGTCCTCAGCTCTTCCCACCCCTCTCTCCAGCCCCCACACTGCTGACAGATGGCTCTTTCCTGCCCAGTGGGTTCAATCCTGGATCCACCACCTAGCAGCCGAGTGACCTTGAGGAAGTTACTTAACTTCCCCCTGCCTCCATGTTTTCATCTGGAAGATGGAGATAATTATTAGACCTACCTCCCGAAGTTGCTGTGAGGAATACACGGATTCATAGAACGTAAGCCCCGTGTGGGTTCCCAGGGATTCTATGTATATCCGACTTCCTCAAGAACTTCTCTCCTTTTCCCTGCCAGGCTAAACCCCGAATTCCTCCTTAAAAATGCATCTTGGGTGTTACCTCCTCCAGAAAGGCTTGGCAGCCCCTTCCCCCCTTGCCCTGCCGGGTCCAGCTTCAACCCCTGGCCGACAGCACACACTCACCCTCGGCTGGGCCACGCCACCCTGCTCTGCCCTCGTGGGTCATTGCCACCGGCGAGTCGGGGCGCCACTTCGGGCCGTGACCACACCAGGCTGCAGCTGCCCCACGGGGCTCATCTCTGGTCACTGAACCCAAGGCCCCGGGCGGGGTGGTGGCTGGTCGCCAAGAGCAGTGCCCCTTTCTCTACGACCGCGGGAAGAGCAGCCCGGGGAGCGTGCGGTCCCTCGGGAGAGGAAGGGGGACAGGGAGGGGCTGAAGGGGGCAGGTGAGGGAGTACGCGCGCGTGGGCAGATGGCATGGAGCACGCATCCTCTCCCCACCTGTTTTCTTGTCCGAGTCTTCCCGGTCCTCAATTTAATGTAGCGTGCAATCAACTCATTTCGACCTGGAGTGGGGTGAGAGAAGGGTGAAGAGTTGGCCAGGGGGGGCAGCTGGTGGCTGCAGACCCCCCACCCCTAGCTGCGAAACATACAGGCCTCTCCCCCAACCCTGCTCTTCTGCCCCCTCTTCACCCCAAGGGGCACACGCAGGCAGGCAAGGGGTGGCGGGGAGCCCCAGGACCCGGGGGCCTGCTGGTTGGGGGAGGTGTGAGTAGGGGGCAGCAGGGTGGGAGGGGACAAGGTCAGGGGGCCCAACAGGTTTCCCTGCACACAGATGGGGGCAGGTGTGGCCATGGGGCAGCAGGGCAGCTGGAACGCTCACCCCTACCCCACTCCTAGCCCCACTCCTAGCCCTGGCAGCACCTCCTTCCTCCCCATGCGTGACGCCTGTTCCAAATCTTTAAGTGTAAGTATTCGTGTGTGAGCGAGGCCTGCTGCGGGTGGCACCCGGCCCCGCACACGTCCCCATGGGAGTCTGGAAGGTGGCTTCCTATCCTAGCTGTCCTTGCCATAAGGGGAGACCCTGGACAAGTCCCCTCCCTTCTCTGGCGAAATGGGCAGGAAGGACCCAGTGGTCTCCAGCACACCCCCCACACGGACGGCCTGTGTTGGGATGTCCTCAAGCCCATCACTGTGTCCCTGAGCCTGTCACCCCCATGTCCCAGGTTACCCGTGTCTCTCCTGCCCTGTGAGATGCTGACAGATGCTGAGCCAACACCTTTATCCCCCCAGTCCAGGCCCCCAGCCCCACAACCCCACAACCTCCCCAGAAGGGCCACATTCTCCGGATTCCTCTTCCATGACAGAACCAGCCCCACTGCTCCTCCCTTCCTGCCTGCCCCTCTCCACCCCACTCCCTCCGCCCTGTCTAAACATACCCTGTGGGGCTGCCCCCGGCCATCTGGGAGGTAGCCATGGGGGAAGCACCCTGGGACATCTGCCTGCCCCGTGCGTGAGGGGGCTCTGGGTCGAGGGGTGGGCGTGGCACAGTGGCTGGGGACAGGGGACACGGCAGCCCTTACCACTTGGCCCAGCTGTCTCCTTCCCGCACCCCGCCATGGTACTGGCCGCTGGGATGGGACGGGCAGAGGGCCTGCCTCACTCAGCCATAGGCTGTCAGGGAGGGTTGGAGGGAGCTGGAAAGGAGCCAGGCCCAGAAGGGTTGAGTTATCCCAAAAATGCAGCTCTGGGAGAGCCCTCTCAGGGCTGGACAAGAGGGGGACACTCCCTTCTGGGGGCAGGAGATGGGCAAGGTGGCAGAGAGCGGGCCAGGAGAGCAGGAGAGACTTGGCGGTGGGGGGGGGGGGGTGGTTGAAGGGTCTGAGGAATGAAGGAGTCCCCATGTCTCTCCAGCCCCCTTCCTAACACAGGCCCTTGTCACAGCGCGGCCTCCCCCCCCCATACCCATGCACTGGACGGAACTCGCCAGTAGGACACCCTGGGTCTCACCCCTCGGGCTTCCCCACATGTAGGGGGGACCCTCTCCCAGGCCTGGCCTGGAGCACCCGGCACTGACCCAGTTTCCTGTGTCCACTGAGTCACCCTGAAACCCGCAGGCCAGCAGGGGGAAAGAGGTGGAGCAGACGGCGGTGTCGAGGTGTGGGCCCCAATCTGGTGGAGGGGGCAAGCCTGGCTTGTTTATGAGGATCCAGACACACAGGCTCACACGCCCAGACTCGCCCGTGGCGGGCTGGCGGCTCGCAGGACTTCGCCAAACCGGTTGGGTGAGGGGGCAGAGAGCGGGGGGCGGGGCCCGGAAGGGCCAGGCCACCTCCCCCAGTCCATCCAGTGTCCCCGTGTCTCCCCACACGCACCGTACATCTTGCCCTCGTCTGACAGGATGATCTTGCGGCGGCCGCAGGGCGGGTAGATGGCCAGGGCCTCCTGGAAGCTCTGCTCGATGTCGGGGCTCCACACACCCTCTGCGTCGTTGTCCAGCCCCTTGTCCAGGCCCTCGGGCCCGTCCTCCCGGGCCTCCCCGGGGCTGCTGCTGGCATTCCAGCTGCTGGACGCTATCGTGCTGGTTGCTCTGGGCTCTGGGCCTGAGCCCACTGGGCAGCCGGGGCCTGCGGGGCAGGCACAGACGGGTTAGGGCCAGGGCTCTCCCAGACCGGAGCCGTCTCCCACCAGGGGGCAGGGGCTGGGGGGGAGGAGGGGGTATACTTACTCAGTGCTGTGCAGCCTTAAATGAGCTACCTCACCTCTCTGAGCTTCCGTCCCATAAGATGAGGGAAAAGGGCTCCTTGAGGTCGTGAGGGTTAAAATTAAATGAGATCACGACAAAGGACCAACCACAATGCCTGGCTCATAACACTCAAGACATAGGACTGGTGGTGATCAGTAACAACAATAACACCTCATATCTACAAGGCACTTTTGTGGGCGAAAAGCATGTTCATACTCACTTAATCCTCAAAACTAAGGCAAGGAGCGCGAGGAGTGATACCCATTATTCAGATGGGACACTGAGGCTCGCAGTCATGTGGCGATGAGAAGAGGAGGGGGCCTGCTGGGTGTTTCTGCAGCTCTTCCTCCTGCCATCGGCAGCCCCCAACTGGGGACCCTCACCCTCCTCGTTCTCCCCCCCGCCTCAGCGCAACCTTGCTGAAGACCCGCTGTGGGAGGGAAAGGGCCCTGGATCTAGGAAGGGTGTGGTTTTGACTTCCCTAAAAGATAACTCCCAGGAGCCCGGCCAAAGAACCTAAACATGGGGCAGGGACCGCCCCAGGAATCGCAAGGAGGGAATGATGCTGGTTGGCAAGGGAGCAGCTGAGAAGGTGCCTGGCCCACAGCCTTGCTCAACCCCACCGGCTCCTCCATCCCACTTCCTGTTCCTGCACCTCCTGGCCCCACAGTGGCCCGTAAACCACCCACACGCCTGCCCCTGCCCTGGCCCACATCGCAGATGGGCCAGGACTCTGTAAACTCTGAGTTCCCTGCACACGCCAGGCTGGGTTATTAACTGAGACCACACCCGGCAGTCCCCCCAACACACACAGCTCCAAGGCTCATCCCCAACCCCCTTCAGCTTCAGACTCTGCATGCCCAATGTCCAGGGAGCCTCGGAGCCCAAGATGGCTAGATCCAGAGACTTTGCTCCGGTCTGCAGGGAAAGCTGGGGTGGGGTAGGGGGTAGGTAGGGTGGAGGGGGTGGGAGACCCCTCTGAAGCTGGGGAAGGGAATTCTTTGCCCTCAGACAAGAATTCCAGGCCCTGCCAAATGGGTAGGGGGGGCCCTCTGTGTGGGGCCACCTGTTTGTCTGGGGAGGCTTGAAGAGGGTCGCTAGTGGCATGGGATGGGGAGGGCCGAGGGGGCCCAAACGTCAGATGGAAACAGAGTTAAGGCTATTACTCTAAAGAGAGCACCTGCCATATGGCAGGCCCTGTTCTGGGATTTTGTACACGTTGACTCATTTAATCCTCACAATAACCTATGCCGTAGAGACTATTATTAGTCTCACTTTATAGATGAGGAAACCAGAGAACAGAGAGGTTAAGCAACTTGTCAGACACACAGCTCGGAAGGGCTAGAGCCGGGTTCAGAGCCTGGCAATCTGGCTTCAGTCTCCTAACCCAGGGGATGAAGCTGAGAAGCCTCACCACCTGCAGCAAGAAAGGAGGCCCAGCTGTCATGGCAACTACCCTGAGCCCGCCCAGTGGGGGTCCAGCCCAGGGGCCTCCCCTCGAGCCCAAGTGGCTGGAGCAGCTTCAAGGACCCCCACAGGGCTGTCGCCCTCGCCGTGAGGCCTCCAAGACCACGAAGAATAGCTCTCCACACCAGAGGGCAGCCCAGGCGAGGGGAAGCCGTGCTCCTGACCAGGGAAAAGGGGCCACACTCCTCTACTCCCAGCCCACTCTCCCCCCCAGGAAGCTGTAGCCCCATCCCCTCCTCAACTCCTGAGGCCAAGTTCTTGGAATACAGATGTGAGGGGGCAGAGACTCTGGGGGCCCAGTGGCTCCCATATTGAGGTAGTTGAGATGCAGGGCCTCCCCCGAGATCTGATACTGCCCCAGGCTGTCAGAGGGGAGGCAGAAGAGGGGCTACGGTGCTCTAAGACCCCTCCCAACAGAGTCCTCAACCCATGTCCCCCCCCCAATCCTTTCCTGAGGCCTCCCTCAGAGCAGCAGGGGTCTGGCGCATGGGGGGCCCTGGCAGCCCCAGACTTTTCAAAGCAACTTCCCGGCCTCCCCCAAGTCCCTGCCCGCCTCCCCTCTTCCAGGCGGTGGCCCCCCCTTCTCGGGGTGATGTCAGCCCCGCCCCGCCCCCCGCAGGAGCACTGTGGCCAAATATGGCGAACGCAGCAGTGCTTGGGAGCTGGGACAGACTGGGGGGGCGGGGCGGCGGCCCCAGGCTGGGACCGCTGGCAGCTGGGGAGGGGGAGGGGAGCCCAGGGGGCGGCTACAAGGACGAGTCAAGGACACTAGTGGGACCACCGTCCCTTCCCCTGGCCCGTAGGCACATGCAAGACTCCCTTTCTAGGAACACTCCTGCGGGCAGAGGCACCAGCACAGGGGCCCACAGGTGACCCCGCCACCCCACACAGCCATGCACAGGAGCCCACGTGTGCAGGTATGCCCTGTGGGTGCCCGGATGAGAACTTTCGTACCCCGGGGCCCAGGCGCCCCCGCGGGCAGCGGCACCAGGCAGGGGGCTGAGCGGGGGTCCCTGTCCCACTGTGGCGCTCAGGAGTCGGCGCTGGCTGCTCTGGTCTTCCAGTTACTGCTGTGGGATGACCGAGACTGGTGCGCGCCCACCCTCTTCTCCTTAGACCCTCACACGACGGGGGACCCAGCGTGGGGCCCGCGGGCTCTTCAGACAGCTGCCGGCTGGCCTGAGCGAATGCGGGGCTCGGGCAGCCCCAGCCCGGGGAGGGCGTCATCCCCGCTGTCCAGAGCCTCTGCCGCCGAGAGGGGTGCCGGGAGGAGGACCCAAGTGAGGGGCGAGGGGGTGGAGCCTGGGGTGGGGTGGAGAGAGGGGGACAGACCCTGACAGGCAGATAGGAAAACAGACAAGGGAGACAGGAGAGTCCCAGAGAAGAAGAGACAAAGCCCCCACAAAGCCTTGGAGTGAGACCCAGAGAAGGAGAGATCCAGAGAGAGGCAGGCCGACAGAACAGGAGAGTGCGAGAATGAGAGAGAGAAAGAGAGAGAGAGAGAGAGTTGGATCCAGAGACGGTTGGGGCAGGAATCATGACTGACAGACCCAGACAGACAGAGACCAAGATCCGGAGAGATGGAGGCACACAGCTGAGGGAGGGGGGTAAAAGCGGCAGGAAGGGGGAAGATCAATAAAGTCAGACAGAGTCAGGCGGAGGGGGGGGCGGTGAGAGAGCAAGAGATAGATAGAGAGAGAGGGACAGAGACAGAGAGAGAGTATGTATGTGCATATGAGCCAACAACAGAGCCCAGAGTTCAGGACAGACTTAGAAGGAAGGGGTGTCAGGGAAGCCACTGCTGGGGGCTGGGGTCAGCCACAACAGGGCCATGTCCAGGACACCCCACTCCTGTCCCATCTGTTCCGCCTCTTCGAGACCACCTCCTATCTCCCTCCACAGAGGCCCGTTATTACCACAGGCTACCCATCCCCGCTGCGGCCCACTCTGCCTCCATCCTCCATTTGACCGGCCATTCCTGCTTCCCCTCTTTGAGGACCCTCAGCCTTCTGAGGTCAGAAGGTGCCTCTGGGTGGTGGCAGGGATGGGAGCTAGGAGGCTGGGTGAGCAGGCTTTGGGGCCCCGGCGGGAGATAAGGGGCCCCTCACTGCCCACTCCCCACCCTGGGGCCAGACTGCTGGAATAACTGGCTGGACAGCTCCGGTGATGGGAGGCCAGCACTGGGCAGCTGCACAAGCCCTAGGCCCCCGCCCCCCACCCCCAGGCCCCGCAGCCTCCAGACCACCCGGCCCTACACCTCCCTTCCAAGGGATGGGAGGAGACTGGTCTGATGCTTGGGCTCCCCCGGCCCTCTGTCCTGGATGGGGATGCATACAAGGCCAGTCAAGGCAGGTGGGGGTTGTCCCCAAGTCCCCCTGCTACCCTCCCTTCCGTACCAGTCCCACTGGGAGGACAAACTGAGCCCAGTGACCCTCGTGGGTCTAGTGGCCAGCAGCTGCCCACCCCTGCAGGGACCACAGCCCCCCAAGAGCTGTCATGTGGAGCCAGAACACCAGTCAAAAGGCAGGAAGATTAGTGAAGTCAGCAGTTGCATCCCAAATCTCCCCCCCGAAACCTGGGCTGGGCTGACCCTCTGAGGGGGCTGAGGATGGGGAGGGCAGCTGATGAGGGCTAAGGGAACCTCCCCACCCCCTCTGTCTTTCCCTTCTTCCTTCTCACCCGCCCCCACAGCGGGGCCAGCTGTTCTCCAGCTGCCAGAGGCTCCCACCCTAGAAGTAGCCCTGCTCCGGTTGGGACTAGGAGAGGGGGCAGGAGGGGGATGGTGTCTGCCTCCAGCATAAGGACCCCCAAGGGACCCTGCCAAGCGGCCACACCCTGCCAGGCTGGGGAGGGAGTACCCTCCTCCCTGGAGCAGGGTAGAGATTTGTTACAGGAGGAAGCAATTTGCAGAGCCCACTAGGAGGGAGGTGGGGAGGCCTCTTCCCCTCTCTCCCGCTTATTAATGTGCTTCCAATTTGGGAATCAGGACTCTCTGCACCCACCCACCCCCACTACTCAGGGCACAGGCTTCCCGGGGATCAGCGGGGGCAGGCCGTCCATAGCTCATCCGCACTGTCACCCGCCCCCTGCCACCAGTGTAAGGAGAGTGGGAGGTAGAGTCTCGGAGCCCTCAAACCTCCACAGAAGGAGAGGGACTTCCCTTCACCCCTACTCTAGGACTCTGTCCTGTCTCATCTTTTTTTTTTTTTTTAACTCGGTAATCTCTGTGCCCAACGTGGGACTTGAACCCACGACCCCGAGATCAAGAGTCGCACACTCCACCGACTGAGCCAGCCAGGCATCCCCTGTCTCCTCTTGTCCCGCTCCAGCGAAGGCCTGGTGTCCAGCTTGGGGGTGGGGGGCGGCAGCCAATGGGTAACTTGGTTAGGTGGGTTTCACAGTTGTCCACGGACGCGCCGAGGGTCTTGCCTCAGTGGCCTGTGCCCCGGCTCCTGGTATTATGCGTCACCCGCTGAGCTGCCACCAGTCATTCGGCCGACGCCCCCGCCCCCCCCCCCCCCCCCCCCGACTACAAGAGTCACAGTGTCCTCTACAAACACCCAGGCTTCCTCGTGGCCCTCCTCGCTCACACACACACTCCCTTGCCCAGCCACCGTCCCACACACATCCATGGTGACCTGAGTCCCTATCCTGCTTCTTCTTCAACTTTCTATTGTAGTAACACACACATTACATCCAATTTACCATTTTAACCATTTTTAAGTGCATCATTCAGTGGCGTTAAGTATTTTCCTTCTTCGTTTTTAACGGTTATCTTTTACACCATCCTCCGCATGGACGCCCCCGGCATCGGGTTCATGGGCCCCCAAATTCGTCACACACGGTCTCCCGAGCATGCCTGGCCCAGCCCTGATGGCTGCCACCCACACTGTCCCCTGGTCTCAGCAACCACAGAGAGTGCCCACCCACAGCGGCATCTGGGTCACACCCCACAGGTCCCCCGACGTGCGGGGCTGCCTGGGCAGGGCCTGGAGCTCAGGCTTCCCCACTCGGCTTCTCACACAGCTGCTTAGCAGCGTGTCACCGGGCTTGCTCCTCACACGCGCCACATACTGTCCTAGTTTTACACAGTGTCATGTACAGTTGCTCACGCAGCCCATCAGGGTTCCTGCAAACCCGAGGCCACCTCGTGCGCTGTTCACACACACACGGTATCACGTGTGGTCACACCACAGCACCGTACGTCACGCAGAGTGGCACCCGTTCTGCTTCCGACACACACAGCATCCAACGATCGCAGTGTCCCTCACACACGCAGAGCATGTGGATCCCCTCAGAGTCAGACCCAGCCTCAAGCTCCTGGTCTTTCAGAAATCATGTCCCCTGCGATGGCCACTCACACACACAGACCACGTGTACAGCTTCTTTCACTCACTCACTCACTCACACACACAGAGGACGTCACTCATGGTGGCTCCCACGTACATAGAGCATCGGTCACACACACCGGTGTTCTAAAGTCACGGGCAGTGTCACAGTTGCTCTCCTGTGCAAGTCCAGCCTCACATGCAGTTACACAAACTGGTTTTAGCCGGTTCTGTCACACACGCACCCCCTCCCACGCAGTGTCACCCACGCAGAATGTCCCACTCTGTTTCTGTCTCACACACGTCCAGCGTCACACACGGTTGCACTCTCATTTCCCTCTATCACTTCCTGTCCTTTCGGGCCTGGCAGGGAGCACAGGAAACAATCAGCACTCTAGGAAACCTCAAGGGCTGAGGCTTTGGGGACCTGTGCAGGGACAGGGATTCTCTGGCCTCCAGCCTCCTGCGGGACCCTGTGAGGACAGGCGAAGTCCGTTCCCCTCTCGGGTCCTCCCCTGAGGGGCAGCACCTCTCCTGCAGACAAGCCCAGGCTGGCACAACACCAGGACAGAGGTGAGGCCAGGGCAAGGCCTTGAGGATGGGGCTGAGTGTGATCTGCTGACCTCTGACCACAGAGGCTCCCGCCATGGCCCCACGGCTGCCCCAGACGCCCACGGAGACCTGGACCCCACAGCTTCTGCAGCCCCCATGTGGGAAGAGACGGTGACCTCCTAGCTACCACCACAGAAAGCTACAGCATTTAGAGCCCTCACGGCTCCCCAGCAACCTGGGGTCTGGCACCCCAGATCCCTTCCCCACTCTCCTCACCGTGGGTGGACCCCTCCACTCCTCATCCCTTCCTGAGGAGGTGGACAGGACTGATAGCTTCGGTTCCCTTCCAGCTTCCACACTGAGCCCTTCGGGGGGTCTGCGAGTCAGGCAGAGGGGCAGGCCATCCACGTGAGCTCTCAACACAATTCACCCCGGCCAGCCCTGCCAGACCCCAGGGCCACTGCAGAGGGCAAGTTCCCCGAGCTCCACCTGGCTTCCCTGTCCCTTGACGCCTGTGGCCTGCAACCTTCTCAGCCACTCTCTCCTGCCTTACCTACTCCTCGGTCACCCCCGGGTTCATCCTCACGTTCTTCCCTAGATCACTGATCACCCACTCACCTCTCCAGTCCTCACTAGGTTCACAGTCCATAATGGAAGGAGGAAGGCCTACTGACTAGAAGACTGAGACTCCGGAAGGAGCTCAGAGACAAGGGACCCGAGAAGTCATTTATTCTGAGCAGGGAAACTGAGGCCCAAGATGACACAGGTGGTTAAAGGCCCAGCTGGGACCACATCTCTTATTTCTTGACCTCCTCTTTGAGATGACCCCTTCTGGTTCTAATATTTCCTCAACTGGCAGAATACAAAGGGTCCACAATTCTGAGTGTGAGGGTGGGAGCACAGAGACAGATAGATATGGGGACACACACACAGCTCTGTCCTGCCAATCACTGACCATCCTACTGAGCCAGTCCCCAGCCCCAGTGCACTAATTAGCATTAATTATTGTTCCCTCCCTAGGGGGATGGGGGAAGGATCATGAAGTTGAGAATCCCACCAGCTCTTAGCCTCTCCCTGAGGAGGGGGCATCCAGGGCCCCTGAAGTCACCCTCACCAGCCAGCCTGTTCCTAGAACATACATCTGTCCATTCCCTGCCCACGGGGTGAGCAGGGATCCAGAAGACTGCAGAACCATGTCCTGGAATGACACCCTCCTGGGCGAGGGTCTTGGAAAAGGAGCTACAAGAATCTAGAAGGGAGGAGCACATAATCCCCCTAAATGTCCAACTTTGGGGGGACTTTGGATTTCCTCTTTGCCCCAGACTGCTCCTGACATTCTAGCCGAGGAGATGTCCCGGCTCCCTGCACTGGGGTGAAACATGTATACACAGAACCAGGCCACAGGAGAGAGGATACACAGAGCCGCCATGGGTTCCAGCCCCTAGAGCTGTGTCCAGTCCCTACCCCCATCCCCTGCTTTCCTGGACTACAAGTCCAGGCCTGACCTGGTTCTGCCTCTACCTGGAGAGAGAGAAAGCACAGAGGGAGGTGCCCCCTGAGAAGCCCTCCCCCAAGGCCTCATTCCCTCTTGTCCAGAAAGAATCTCTGAGCCCTGGAACAGGGCCACTCTCCCAAAAAGGTGAGAGTGGGGTCTCAGTGACACTGCCCTGGGGCCTGGCTAGCTGAAAACCAGATGCAGACAGGCACTCCTGGCCCTCCCTCCCCAGGCGGGAGTAAAGGGCATGACAGACAATAGTGGTGGTGGTAGTGGTGCGGACAAGCCTCCTTCAAACCCTCTAAAGTCTAAACAAGGGCTCTAAGGACGTGTAGCGAAAGTAAGGCCCCAGAGCCAGCCCTCTTTGGAGCCAGGCTCCTAGAGCCCTGGTCTGGAACTCCGAACCTGCACCCCAACGGGGCGGCAGAACTGGAAGGAGCTTAAGCCCCTGCCTCTCAGGGGGCACACGCCCGGGGCGCGCAGCTCTGCTCCCAGACACACTCCACAATCCGGCGCAGCCACAGGCACCGCGCGCAGGAGCCGGCCTGGGCGCCGGGAGGCCGGGCCCGAGGCCTGCGTGGAGCTGGGGCCGGGCCGGCTTCGAGAGAGCGCGAGCCGGGAGTCCAAAGGGCGGCGGGGCCCGGGAGTGGGAGTCCCGGGTAGAATCTCCCCGGTGGCAGGGCCCCGAAACCGTGCGGCCCCCAGACCCCTGCCTCGACACCCCAAACGCGTACGTTGGGACAGGCGATGGCACCGGGGACAATATCCCAGCTCCCCGACCTCCCCCGACCAACTCGTCCGGGTCGCGGGGGGGTGGGGGTGGGAGGGGTGGGCGGGGCTTCCCGGAGAGCTCCCCCCCCTTCCCTCTAAACTTCCCGGCACCCAGATCTGGGGCTCAGGCTCAAGCTGGACAATAGCTCGGGGACCCAGCCCCCCTCGAGGGCCCCCCCAATCCAGAACCAGCCAACCAAACCACCTCTCCCAGCAGGGCCTCCTCCCGGCGTCCGCCCGGCTTACCTGGTCCGAGCTCGGGGGGGCGCTCCGGCCGGGCCGCTCCGCCGGGCCCGAAGGAGCTGAGAGGGGGGCCGGGGAAGGGGGGTCTTGGGGAGGGGGCTGGCCGGAATGTGCGGAATGAGCCGGGCTGGAGCGGGAGGCGCCGGGCGCGGAGGAGGGAGCGAGCGGGACGGAAAGTTTGTGTTGAGGAGCCGGGGCGGGGGGTGGGGGCTGAGGGGAAGGAGGGGGCGGGGCGCGCAGGGGGGCGGGCACCGGCCGGGAGGGGCGGGGCCGCGCGGGGCCGCCCCCAGTCGGCGCTCGGGCTGCCCACCCCGCGGCTTCGCGACCCGCGGCTGCTCCCGGCCTTCCCGCGCCTAGGCGCTCCCCTCCTCGCCTGCCTGTGCCACGCTCCCAACCGCTCCCCGCACGCCGGGCCTTACTCCACCTCCCCAGGACCCCGCCGCAATTTGGGGCTCAGGCCTGGGCGGGCCCGAGGGCGGGGCTCCCGCCTAGCCGGCTGGACTCCCGTCGAGGTGCCGCGTCACGAGGAGCCCCGCGGAGCCGGACCGCACGGGCCTTGGGGCTCCCTACCCACACCCCCCCGCCCCTACCCCAGTCCCGGGCCGCCGAGGCGGAGCGCCCTCTCGCGCCCGAGAGCCCGCCCCCAACTCCCGGGGCCCCAGACCCCGCCCCGCCCTGGCGACTGCGCCCGCCCTGCCCGGACCCGGTTTGTCTGGTTCTCCCCGAGAGGCTTGTTTCTCGAATTTCTCCCTTTCCCCTCTTCCCGGACCTCCGGGCCCTCCCTCGCGGCCCGGGGCCCCCGCGGGGGGCGTCTCGACACCACGAGCCCGCCGAGTTTCGGTAGGACCGGCGCTGGGCGCGGGGGAGGGGACGCGGGAGCGCCCCGGGCCTGGGCGGGAGCGGGGTTGGGGGGTGGGGAGGCAGGCCTCCGGCCCGCCCTCCGGACCCCTCCCGCGCTCCGGACCCCTCCCGCCGCCTCGTTCTCGGCACGCGCTGAAGAACCACTGCTTGCCGGGTCTGGGACGCGGCTTTACTGGGGATGTGTGTACCCGGTGTTCCGCCCGCATCACCTACCCCCTCTTCCGAGCCCGCCCCACTCCTCGATCCCGGAGGGGGTTAAAACAACACTGACTACTGCTCCTGGACAGGAAGTGACTGGGGCGCGGGGCGGGGAAGGGGGGCGGTTGGTGAAGCGGCTCAGGCTAGCTCCGCGACCAGATGTGCGGCTCCCGACTCCAGATGTTCTTCATCTCTGTCGGACCGCAGTCTGAGCTCCTCCCTGCCTCGGCCTGTGCCGGGCTGGGGAGTGGATGGAGGTCACTCGGAGACAGTGAGGGGTCAGCCCCGGACAAGAGAGGAGTCTTCAGTGGGGGCTTTGGCGAATGGACCCTGCAAGCCTCCACTGAATCCGTTCCCCCGCCCTTGGCGGGCGCTGGGGGCTGCTGGGGTCACTCGCAGGCCAGCTTCCCGTCGAAACTGGAGAGGGCGATGGCGAAGGCCTGCAGGGCGCACAGCGGATACCGGTAGTCTAGGGTGAAGGCGTCCTCGGCCACGCGCCCGAACTGCAGTACGATGTAGTCAGCTGTAGACACAGACCGGTGGGGGGGCAAGATCTCCTAGGGTCCCAGTCCTGGCAGACAGTGTCCTCAACTTTGGGAGAAGTCTCCCTCCTTTGCATTGGGGCCCTAATCCTCAGCGACCAACTCAATTATTCACCCTCCACCCATCCACCCCTTCTTATCTGGCCCAACCGGCCCCACCTGCCGCTTGACCAGCCTTCTGACTGACTGTAAGCCCCTGAGGGCAGGGATCCTGCCTTATCTTCTGCCACCCAGGGCTATGGGTAGGACAGGCACTTAAATATAGGAACCTGTCACACTTCCCCCAGACAATGGCTCTGGCCTCATTCCTTCTTCCCATCCCCAGCCCCCAAGTCCCATCTTAGACCGCCAGGCTCTCTCCCTTCACTAGCCCCCCCGAGTCCCTACCTTATCGAGTGGCTCCACTCAGCCCCATCCCATATCTGGTCCAGGTTCCCAGCCCCAGTCCCAAACACCTCCCCCAGCATCCATAGGGACAGGAAGTTGCTAAAAATACCCCTGATCTCTGCAGACCAGGCTCCACCAGAAATGTGATCTGGAGAGCAGTTTTCCAAGGCCTTGGGACAGGTGACACTGGGGACACATCCCTAGGATGGAGTGGGGGATGGAGAAGTTGCTCAGTGTCAGCCAATCCTGGGAACCCGGAGTCCCTTGGAAGGTATCTTTCCATCCCAAACTTCCTCACCCTAGTGGGAACCTCTCCCCCAGGCCTGTTAACAGGGACATTTTTACTTAATTGTGTTCTGGGCATATCTTGTTTCCCTAACTCCTTGAGGGCAGGCCTTTGACCTTACTTGAGAGAGGACAATAGAGCAGGCATTGAGAGATGCTTGATTAATATTCCCTAGCCCTGCAAGGCGGCCATCTTGAAGGGGTTGGGAGCTGGGGCCCTGGAGCCAGACCACCGGGGTTCTTGTGCCAACTCTACCTCTTACAGCTGTACTACCTTGGGCAATTTACTTAACCTCTCTATGCCTCAGTTTTCTCATCTGCCAAGTAGGGACAATAATAATATCTTCCTCAGGTTTTGGAGGGGTAGGGTTGTTGCAAAGATTTAATGATTCAGTATCTGTAAAGTCCAGAGAACAGTGCCTAGCACATAGAAAGCCCTGTGTGTCTGTGAAATAAATTTTGATGGCCAGTGGGACCTCCTGGAGTCGCTGAGAGACTTTGGGGAAGGCGCCGCCCTCTCTGAGCCTCAGCAGCCTCTTTGACCACGTAGAGGTTGGGCTATCAGTGGTTCTCAAGCTCCAGCAGATTAACTCTCCCTTCAACACAGTCTTTCTTACCCAGAATATCCCAGTATCTACCCCAGGCTCTGGTCAATGCTAGAAAGAAGGCCTGCGACAGTAAGCCCCGAGACACCTGCTTGGAATACCTGAGGCTCCTGGGAACAAGCTGTCAATGCCCCTGCAGGAGGGAGTGACTTTCCTGGATGTTCTGGCTCCAGCGAGAAAGGACAGCTTTGTGCACATGCATGCGTGTGTGTGTGTGTGTGTGTGTGAGAGAGAGAGAGAGAGAGAGAGAGAAAGAGAGGTGGTGGGGAAAGGCCCGAGGGAGGGTCAGGGTCCTGGAGGTGGTGGGGAACAGCCCGGCTTGGGCCCTCAGATACTCACGGTCATCGGCGTGGACAATTTGGAAATTCTTGACTGAAGCTTGTGTGACTCGACCTTGGAAGTTGAGGGTGTAGGAGCCGCTGTCTTCGTTCCAGACAGGTGGCTTGTTGTGCAGCTCGATGAGGCTCTCCAGTGTTTTGTTCTGCCAGCGCACCAGCAACCCATCGCTGGCCTGGGGTGCCAAAGGCGAGTGTTAGGGAGAGGACATTTAGGGGTGGCCGAGATAGCTCAGGACCGAGGGGAAGGGGCCTGGGGACCTGTGCATGCCTTTGCATGTGTGTGCTAGTGTGCAGACTGGACATGGACATCCGTTCGGGGCATCCTTGACCAAGGACCGAGCAGCTTGGTCTCTGCAGTATCCTTGTGGGCAGGGTGGACCTCTGTGAGAATGGGTCTCGCCGTGGGATGCCGAAGTGGAGGGTTGGGAAGTAGCATCTGGCACACAGTAGGTGCTCTGCACCCTTGGCACCCAAGGGGTCCTCGGAACAGCCACATGCTGGCACCTGATCATAAGGATGCACTAGACATGCTGTGATTGACACGGAGATCGCAGTTGTGTTTGGGGAGACGGACAGGTAAACAGTGGTTAAAATAAGATGTCCCAGAAGAGAGTTTCTCAGAGGAAGGAGTGGTGCCTACGTGATAGCGCTCTTGAGATACTTCTTTCCTGAGTTCCCTTGGCACTGGTCACATTCGTGGCTTAGAGTGAGTCTGCGCAAGATCATGTCCTCCGAGAAGGCTCCCTGACCCCGTGTCTGATTTAGACGTCTTAGCTCGGAGTCTCCCTCCATAACACCTGCTCTTACTATTTCTCCCACTACACTGTAATGGGCAGAATTAGATACTTAAAGGGCAGCTATCATATTTTATTGATGGCTCTGTGCCTCAGTTTCCCTCACAACAGGGTCTTGTGAGGATTAAAGCAGTTAATAGTGCATGGCATGTTATTCAGATCAGTTCCTGGCCCAGAGTACATGCTCAATAAATGTCGGATTGTTCTGATGGTTCCTGTTTGCTGATTTTGGATCTTCAGTGCCTGGCTTTAATGAACGACTGTAGAATGAATGGACGGTGAAATGATGAAGAGTTACCCCGAGCGGCCCTGGGGAGTTCTCACCAAGCCCAGACACACTCGGGAGGCCCTGCCTCTGGAGCATTTGCGTGTTTAGTCCGGGCCTGGAAGGAGCAGCTGTGGGACCCGCGGCTCCTCAAGACTAACAGCCTTCCGTGCCTCGAGCCCCTCGGGTTGGCCAGGCCTCTGATTACGGTGTGACTTGCCAGCATGGAAGGATGTGTGATCAGCTGACGGGTGTTATTTTTCCTTGTAAATGAGTAAAGTGACATCACTGCGAGTATGGAGCACGCCAGTCATCCTGTCTCTGCAGTCCCGGGCTCACTGACCTGCGGAGCGAGCGACTGACACTGAAGATGGCCACCTCTCCCCGGCCCATCTCTCCGTCTTACCCTAGACTACACACGCACACACACGCGCACACACACACACGCAACCTTTGCTTTTTAAAATAGAAGGCAAATCAAGTCACTCCTGAGAACCCTGCTGTGGCTTCCTGTTTCTCCCAGTACAAACCAGTTATACAGGCCCTATCTGAGACTCAACTCTCACCTCTCACCACAAACCCACCGGGCATCATCCTGCCTCAGGGTGTTTGCATTGGCTCTTCCCTCTGCCTGGATGCTCTCTCCCTAGATATCTATAGGCTTGCTCCCTCACCTCCTTCATGTCTTTGCTTAAACGTCACCTTCTCAATGAGGCCCACTCCGACTTTTTCTTTCTTCCATACCACTTGTCACTTTCTAACATTCTACACAATTTACTTATTTGTCACAATTATTGTCTACAGTCCGTCCCCTCCGCTAGAATGTCAGCTTCAGGAGGGCAGATCTTTTTTACTCACTGATGTCTGCCAGTTACCTAGAATAATACTCAGCACTCATTATACGCTGAATGTGTATAGTACGATATACACAATATACAACTCATTCAGTGAATGAATATATGAATGGATGATTTGGTGTACACTGGGGAAAAAAAAGCAACTCATTGTATTGGTTCCAGTGAATTCAATTACAAAACCGCCTAATTCATCCGAGTTTCCAGAATGAATGTGTGACACAGGGTGATGAGTGTGCCCAGGAAGTTGGGTATGGGCAACCTGAGCCCCTGCCCCCCAGCTCCCCAGGAGTGGGTCATGAATGGATCACAGGGGAACAGGACCCTCAGGGGGAGGCGTCAGGGAGGTGCTGGGCTCACATTTCGCGGCCGGATGGGGACCCTCTCGTTCTCCGTATTCATGCCAGGAATGATGACCGTCATGCGCCGGGGACCCCGGAAGCCCAGCACGTTGGTTTCCTGGGAGGGAGATGCCTGTTAGGCCGGTCCCTGCGAAGGGGAGGGTCCTGCCGGGAGGGGGGTGCTGGGGGGTGTTCTCACATAGATCACAGCTGCCAGTTCCTGCCGAAGGCTCCCCACATTAGTGCTGCCTCCTCCACGGTGCGGGTTCTGCCCATTGTCAAAGACGGTAAAGCGGTTGCCCAGGAGATTGGACCTGCAAGCAGGGTGCAGCTGGGGGCAGGGCTGGGGGGACTCCACACCCCTGCTCCAAGACCCTTCCTCATAGCCAGGCAGTTTGGAGAGCTTCCTATGTCAAGGGTGTGGGTGTCTTAGGACAGAACAACTCTTGTCCCCTGCCCCAGGCTCCCCTCATGAGGTCTTTTTAGAAGCTGGATCTGGAAGGACACTGGGCAACCTTCAGATCTCAGCTCCATCTCTTACTGACCCTAGGCAGGCTGAACTCTCTGAGCCTCAACATCCCCCTCTGTAAAATGGGCCTAATAACAGTATTTACCACTTGGTCAATAAGGGGACTACATGGATTCATGTTTGGAAGTTAGAACAATGCCTGACACGTAGGTAGGCCTTACATAAGTGTTTGTTAAATACAAAAATATAAGAAATAAGACCTGACTCGGGGCTCCCCCCTTCCCCTTACCTCTCAGATGCGCAGTGAGGATTAGATGAGATATATGGGGAGACACAGCACAGGGTAGGTGCTGGATATTTGTTTATTCATTCACTTAGTAAATGTTTTATTGAGTCGCTACTATGTACCAGGTGCTGGGAATTCAACCATGAATGTGACAGGCGTGGTCCCTGTCCTCATGGACCCTTATGACCTATGTCAAGTGAGGTCCCTGGTCCAGCAGCACGGGCATCACCTGGGGGCTTGTTAGAAATGAAGACTCTTGGGGCGCCTGGGTGGCTCAGTTGGTTAAGCGACTGCCTTCGGCTCAGGTCATGATCCTGGAGTCCCCGGATCGAGTCCCGCATCGGGCTCCCTGCTCAGCAGGGAGTCTGCTTCTCCCTCTGACCCTCCCCCCTCTCATGTGCTTGCTCTCTCTCATTCTCTCTCTCAAATAAATAAATAAAATCTTTAAAAAAAAAAAAAAAGAAATGAAGACTCTTGCCCCACACCCAGACCCACTGGGCCATTTTAACAACGCTTCCAAGTGATCCGTGCACACTCAAGTGTGGGAAGCCCTGGGGCAGGGGACATTTCTGGAGTGCCCAATGTGGTGGCAGAGGGAGACGGAAGTGACTCGCCATGGTCTCTTGTGGCCCTGGGCTTCCCAACCCCACCTCAGCTTCCCAATGAAATTCTCCCCTCCTCGGGACAGATTGGTGGGGTCGCTGGAGATGAGGTAATTGGCCGTCTTGCTACGTTTCCGCTTCCTGCCTGCCAGGAGGAACACCTGGGGAGAGGGGGAGACAGGTGAAGGAAGGAGGTGAGTGAGGGGAAAGGGAAGGCCTGTTTGCGTCGGACTCCACCCACACCCCCATTTTGGCTCTAGCCGCCCCCCAGCCTGGGTCCTGGCACCTGCACTCTCTCTCCCCTGCTGTCTCCCCCCTACCCACCTTCTTCTCTGTGTCCAGGTGCAGGAAGTAGGAGGGATACAAGCCCCGATCCATGCCCTTCTTGTCCCGGGTCAGCCTGCAGCGCACCGTCCGGTCCTGAGGGGCAGGCCGGAGTACAAACTCCTGGGGTTCATCCACTTCTATGGGTGGGGATGGGTCTCTCTCCTCCTTCTAGGTCGGGGCAGAGCGTGTATCAGTCCTGGAGCCCTGGCTTCTCTGCCCTCAGCAGATCCCCAGTGCCGGGACACAGGCAGGGCAGGCAGGACGACTCACCGCTTTCTGTGTGGAAGAGAACAGACAGGCCAGCTACAGTGGGCTGGGCCCCTCACTTCCCCTACAGCCCAGCAGGCCATGCTAGGTGGCTCTGCGGAGCTTGGCGCTTTATTATTATTTTGCTTCACTTTGTGGTTAAGAGCCTGGGATCTGGAGCCAGACAGCTTGGGTTCAAATCCTGGTTCCACCACTAACTCTGTCATGTTTAACTTGAACCACCCTGTGACTCAGTTTTCTCATCTGAGAAATGCAGAGGTTGGGGCTGGATTCCCCGGGAGAGACCTTATTGATTTATATATTAACAAACACTCCAATAAAGCCTACCAATGTGCCGGGCATAGCTCTAAGTATCTTCCAAATATTAACTAATTTAATTCTCTTAGGTAACTACTGAAGTAATTGTCCAATTTTACCGAAGAAGTTGAGGCTCAGAGAGGTTAAGGAACTTGCCCAAGTTCACACAGCTAGTAAGAAGTGGAACTGGGCTTAAAATGGTGCCAGAGCCAGAGCCTTAGAAAGACCTTCCTTCGTGTGGACACTGTGTCAACGGGCGAACTGAGGTGGGGCCAAAGGTATGAACTGCTGTGTTAGAGAAGTATTAGCTATTGCTATCATTACAGTGTATGGTAAATTATCAATGACTGCAGGAGCCAACCTCCAAGATGAGCCCCGGTGTTCCCTGCCTCCTGGTATTTCCACTTCGTGTAGTCTCCTTCCACATCGTATCAGAGTTTGGTCTTTCTGACCAATGGAATATAGCCCAAGTGATGGGGGGAGGGGTCACTTCTAAGGCCAGGTCATAAGAGATACTGTGGCTTCTCCTTGCTGTCTCCCTTGGGCCACTCTTGAGCCCTGGGGGAAGTAGGCTGCCATGTCATTAGACCACTCAAGCCGCCCTATGGAGAGGGCTCCAGCCAACAACCATGACAGTGAACCATTCTAGAAGTGAATCCTCTATTGCCAGCCAAGCTTCCCAAGTGACTGCAGACCCAACTGACATCTTGACTGCATTCTCAGAACAGACCCCAAGCCAGAAGTACCTTGCTAGGCCCCTCCTAGATTCCTGACTTTTAGAAACTAAGAAAAGAAATGTTTGTTGTCTTAAGGCACTAAGTTTTGGGGGTAGTTTGTCAGACTGCAATACCGAGGTAAGACAGTGAATAAATAAATAAGCTTATCTTGCTCATGGAAAAACTCCGAATCACAGTTTGGTTGCATTCCACACTAGGGTGGCCTAGGCCTGACCTGGTGACCCCACAGCTGCCCCTTTGGATCTGGTGCCCTCTGCCCTCATGTTCTATCCCTCCTAAGAGGGGGAGCCAAGACCGTAACCCCAACTTTCCCACTAGGGAAGAGAGGGGACTGCCAGCCTGGGTGTGTGCTATATGAGAGCTACGGAGAATCCCTGATACGCTGCGGTCGGCCATTTTTGCTGAGGGCAGGTTTGGACTACGTGTGAGGTGAGGCTGGTGTCGGTGAGCAGGCCCTTAGCCTCCGGGCAAGGGAGCATCTCTTCTCCACTCTGGGCTGCTCCAGAAGAAACTTGGGAAACGCAAGACTATGTTTGGAATGTGATGTGGAGAAAGCCAGAGCTTATTCAAACATTTCCACAGCTGTAAATTTCTAGGGCCTACTGTATTGAAGGCGGCACTGCGGTTATATTCCCCGTGGGAGATAAGAAACTGGCCTTTAGTTTATATATCGGTATCTGGTGATGTTGGCTAATGTGAGTCAGTCCCCCAAGACCTGACCACTCCTGAACAAACTAATAAACCCACATGGCTCGGACCCCGGCTCTGCCCTCAGGGTGATCTCTCCACTTGTGGAAACCCAATTTCTCAAAGACTTTCATCACTTTCTCTCTCCAGTTTGGCCCCCCTCTCCTGCTTACCCCGGCTTGTGCATGTTGGTGCCTGAGTCCTATTTGTGAGAAAGAGCAATATTCAAGAGAGTTAACAACCTGTTCTGCCCCTGGAAACTGCCTGGTCTGTCCAAATGGACCCTGGTGGGCCTGGAGGAGGGTTCTGGAGGCACCTGTCTGCCAGTGTTAACTCTTCAGCTGCGGGAAGGTTGGGCCATCCCGGATTCGGTAGCAGAAAGCACTTGGGGCCCCAGAGCAGTAGCGTGAAAATATTTTAACAACTCACACAGTCAGTGAGCACACTCTGCCTGCGTGTTCTCCCTCTCTGGTACAGAAGATGGGTGTCTCTTCGCGTGGTGGCTTTGTGAGCATCTCTGGCTGGGGCTGCTGGTTAGGCCGCAGAGGGGAGGGCTTAGAGCCCAGATAACATCAGGCCCGCAGGGAGCCAATCCCAGCCTAGTGACCCCTCAACCGCCTTCTCTGTTCTCACAAGTCTGGTGACCTTTGTCCTCCTATCGTGTCATCAGAGAGGGAGCCAAGACTCTAACCCCCGGCCCCCCCCTCCCCACGAGGTTCCATACTCTAGTCCCCCAAGCCCAGGCCCCTGCCCTGCTCCCTGAAGGGGACTCGGCCCCCTTCCCCTCTGGATCCCAACCTTTTTGCCTTTTCCTTTCGCTTTGCCCTTCTGATTGCTGTTCTTCATTCCCACGGCTGCCACTTCTTCCTCCTCCTCCTCGTCCTCCTTCCTCTCCTCTTCTGGGCCTTTGGAAGTGCCTGGCATGGAGGGGGTACAAGCCTGTGAATCCCTGACCCTGTGGAGCACTTCTAACACCCACGCCTTACTTGGACCCTCCCCACAAGCACAAGAGAGCACTCCCATATTACTATTATCAGAGACTCAGAAAGGCTCAGATACCTGCTTGAGACCACACAGCTATTTAAGTGGGGAGTAAGATGCCCCTCAAGTCTTCGGACTCCAGAGCCCTCTCCTCACCCCACACTGCACTTGGGTTCCCCACCCCCAGGACGGCCTCTAGATGTCATGGCCCCAGAGGCCACGACCACCCACCTTTCTTCTTCGGAGCTTTCTCAGCTGGCCCTTCTTCCCCAACCAGAAACATGGCTGCTGCAGTCTTCTTTCTCACTCTGGCTGGGCTCCCTGAGGGGTCCTTGTCAGCCTCCCCAGACCCTGTGTGGGTGGATGTGAAGGAGTCACACACCACCACACCCAGAGTCCCCTGTTCCTCGGGAGACCAGTCTCACCTTTCTTCTTCGTCTTTCTCATCTTGGGCCCCTCCCCCGCTGGCGCCTCCTTCTTCATGCGCAGAGGTTTGGCTGGGGGGACAGGGCTTCCCAGGTCCCCTGGAAATGGAGGTAGGGGTTAGACAGAGAAGAGCCTGTTGGGGCTGAAGGCCACTTTCCAACCCACTCATCATTTCTTCAGTCCCCAGGGAGGCTGAAGACCTGACAAGGGCCCAGAGTCTGTCTTCTGCTCGTTGCGTTTTATTTTATTTTATTTATTTATTATTTAAGATTTTATTTATTTATTTGAGAGAGAGAGAATGAGAGAGAGAGAGCATATGAGAGGGGGGAGGGTCAGAGGGAGAAGCAGACTCCCCGCCGAGCAGGGAGCCCGACGCAGGACTCCAGGATCATGACCTGAGCCAAAGGCAGTCACTCAACCAGCTGAGCCACCCAGGCACCCTGCTTGTTGCATTTTTTTTTTTTAAGATTTTATTTATTTATTTGACAGAGAGATAGACAGAAGAGCACAAGCAGAGGGAGTGGCAGAGGGAGAGGGAGAAGCAGGCTCTGCACCGAGCAGGGAACCCGATGCGGGACTCGATCCCAGGACCCTGAGATCATGACCTGAGCCGAAGGCAGACGCTCAACCATCTGAGCCACCCAGGCACCCTGCTTGTTGCATTTTAATCCTGAGTCTGTAAAGGGCTGGACAAACATCAGGAGCTTAATAGACATTACAGAATGAATGAATGAATGAATGAATGAATGCGGGCCTTCTAACTGAGTCTCTGATTCCCAGCTCCCACCCCATCTCCCCAGAAAACCTCCTCTGGCAGGTGCTACAGACAGTGTTCTCTCCCTCCCACAGAGGCCCAGGGTCCTAGCTACCTGTCCCCATTTAGACCAGCCTGCGGTACCTGTAGGGCGAGGTGCCCAGGCCAGAGAGCCATGATAGCATTTATTTCATTGACTGATTTCTACCGTAATGGCTTTGATACTTTTATGAAAATTATAACAATAATACATATTGAGTTAAAAGAAAAACCACTAAAAAATCACAAAACTAAAATCCTCTGTCCTACCTGGCTCACAGAGCTCCCTGGGCAGGCAGTGGTGGGGATGGTGGGGATGGTGGGGCGTGGGGGGAGCACACGTACTATGTACTTAAGGACCGTCATGGGGAAGACACCAGAGAAGGAAACTCTTGCGTCCAGGCACTGGTAACTTTCTGATGTCTCAACTCTCGCCTATCACTGAGGCCTCCAAGCCCCTGAAGGACAGGGCTAGCTTTCCGAGTCTGTGTGGTCCCTCTGTACCTTCAACACTCACCCTTCTGACCCTGGGCCTTGGCCTTCCTCTCCTTGACCCCGGCAGAAGTCTTCTCTTTAGGAACCTTCTTGGGTGGCAGAGGGATTTTCTCTTTCTTTTCCTCCGCCTCCTCTTCCTCTTCGTGGTCCTCTGATTCCTCTTCATCCTCTGTAGGTAGAAGCTCCTCATAATGGGGGCTGGCGTGGGCCCCATCATCTGGGAGCCCGGTCCCCCCAGATTGCTGGGAAGTGGTAAATGAGGGGGGTGGGTGGGAGGCTCCCCTTCTGGAACAGGAACAGGAACAATAGGAGAAACACAGTTCTAGCTCCTTCCTCAAACCTTGGGGGTGATTCCAAGGTGTTCTGGGAAGTGAGCTGGGGTTGGGGGAATGCGAGGGGCTTGGCAATCCTGTTCTGGGGGAAATGCCCTTCTCTGTAGGGCCCTCCCCCCCGCTCCGGGACCCTTACCTCCTCACACACTCCTGCCTGTCTTGCAGTCCCCCCACCCCCCATCACCGCACCTGCGCTGTTTCTCCCTCTCCGCTGCTTTTTTTTTTTTTTTTTTTTTAAGATTTTATTTATTTATTTGACAAGAGAGAGACACAGCGAGAGAGGGAACACAAGCAGGGGGAGTGGGAGAGGGAGAAGCAGGCTTCCCGCCGAGCAGGGAGCCCGATGCGGGGCTCGATCCCAGGACCCTGGGACCATGACCTGAGCCGAAGGCAGACGCTTAACGACTGAGCCACCCAGGCGCCCCTCTCCCCCTCCGCATCTTCCTGGCCTTGTCCGTTTCTGACTTCCAGCCAGACCCATCTGGGCTATCTCTGGCCCCTAGCTGTAGTTTAAGGCAAAACTCTTAACCGCTCCGTGCCTCAGTTTCCCCAACCGGAAAACGGAGTAAAGAACAAGAGAATAAAGTGGGGTTTTTTGGCTCAAAGAGAAGGCCGGAGAAAGAGAGGCTCTTCCCGAGTTTTCCGTCGCCCTGTCGCGGTTCCCGTGCGGGCCCTTCGCGCCTTCTCTCCAGCGCCCCCCTCCCGCGCTCCACTCCCCCCCACCCCCACCCCCCGACCGCGTCTCACCGTCCACTGCGTCCGGGGCTCGCGCTACCAGGAAGGTTTCCCGCGGGTCGCGCTTGGCCTCGGGGTCCCTGAGGAACTTGGCGTAGACCGTGTGCGGCGGCCGGGCCTCCGGCGGCTGCGGGGCCGCCTCCTCCCGCGGCTTCCCCCTCCGCCCGGCTGAGCCGAGAGGCTGGGGTCAGGCAGGGCCCGACCCCCTCCTCGGACGGCGCCTGAGCCCCGGACGCTGCCCGCCTCGGGCTCCTTTCTGTGGGGGTCTCCTCTGGGCGCTCTTTCCACCTCCGACACCCCTCCCCTGGCTTTCATACATCCCTCCCAGCCCCCCCCCCCCGTTCTACCCGGGCCCTCTCCCACCCCTCCAGTTCCCCCCTCACTGCCCCCACCCCCAGGACTCCAGGATTCAGCCGCACCCCTCCCGGGCCCCTCACCGGGGGCGCCCCCAGGCTCGGCCCCCCGCCCGCCGGCAGGTCTCCGGGGCTTGGATCCCTTAGGGCCCGGGGACTCGGGAGCCTCCGTCCTCTTCTTCCTCAACTTCTGCCCCTTGGCGGGTCGCTGCGGAGTGGGGGTCAAGAGGAGGGAGAGGAAGGAAAGGGGGGCTCGGAGGGCTGCCCATGACCCTCTAATCCCTTGAGCCGCCAGAAATAACCGCGGATTATCGGGAGGGGAACAGCAGCCTTCTTCTTGGGGTGGGAACGGTGACCCCTCGCATGCATCATGGCCGCGTCCAAGGCCCCAGAGTCCCAATTCCTCCCCTGGACATCCCATGCCCCGAAACACCCTTTTCCTCAAAAGAGAAAAAAAAAAAAAAAAGGCAAAACTACAAGGAAGAAACACTCAGGCGCTGCTGAGGGGGACGCGTCCCACTCCCAGATCCCCTTCCCTGCATGGGCTTACACGCAATGGGGGGGTTCTCCCTGCCTCCTTTCCAAGCAGGGGTGACATACCTGCTTGGGGCGCTGCTGGACCTCGGGGCTCTGGCCTTCCTCTTCATGTCCACTGAGGGTAGCAATGCAATCAGTCTGTCTTCCTCCCCTTTTCTGCCCCTCCCCAACCCCTCCACCTGGGCCCCCCCAGGGTTCAGGTAGGTTGAGGTGAGGTGGTGGTGGGGGCGCTTCCGGACCTGTCCGAGGCCCACACCTCTCGGAGGGTGTCGTCCTGCAGCGGCATGGTGTATTCGCCTATCCACACCCCCTTCTCTGGCCACCCTGCAGCTCTAGGAGCCTCCCTGCCCTCCCCGGCTAATCCAGGCTCAACTTCACCCCACCTCCCGCTGGCTCAAGAAGGTGGCAGCACTGTGGGAGGTGCTTCTCTCCTGCCCACAACCCCCCCCACTCACCAGGTCCAGCCCACTGAGGGAAGAGGTTGACTCCCCAGTTCTCAGACCACCAGCAGCCTGAAGGACGCCATCGCTGTGCCAGCCCCACCCTCCCCCACCCAGCTTCCGGTCGGAGGTGCCAATTTGTAATTTGTCAGGGGTCAGTGGGGTGTGGGAAGAAAATATTAGATCAGATCCTGTATTTATCTTTATTTTTCATAAAAAATAAGAACTAGGGTTGACTGATACTTAGTATATATGGATTGACAGAAGCATGTGTATTATCCAGTACTTTATTAAGAAACATGCCTAATTATGGATGTACACTTAAAATTATTTTTTTACTGATAGCGAACATGCTTTTTTAAAGTTTAGAGACCAAGGATATAGTTTTGTTTTGTTTTGTTTAAGTAATCTCTATGCCCAAGGTGGGGCTCAAACTCATGACCCCACTCACGATCCACTCATGACCCACAGATCAAGAGTCACGGGCTCCACAGACTGAGCCAGCCAGGTGCCCCCCAAGGATATAGTGTTGATGTGATTAATATGGGAGACGTTTGGTTAATTGCTGAGGAAGCCCAGAGCAGGGGTCTCACTCAGCTGTCCTGGAGGCTTCCTGAAAAGCCTGATCTAAAATTTAAAAGATGATGAACAGGAGCTCCACAGGCAAAAATAAAAGTGGGATGGGATACCTGGAAAAGGAACAAGATAAAGGCCTAGAAGTTGGAAATAGCCAGGTGTGTTCAAAGGTTTAGCGCTAGGAGGCAGGCAGTCATCTTACCCATGGGTCAGCCCTGAGCCCACGACCTGAGCTCTGTCACTTAAGGGCTGAACGCCCTGAGCCCCTCTGAGCCTCCGTTTCTTCATTTATAAAATGGGCTCAACCGGTAAGGATATTGTTCAGATTCATTGAGATGAGGGGCACCTGGGTGGCTCAGTCAGTTAAGCATCTGATTCTTGGTTTCAGCTTGGGTCGTGATCTCAGGGTCGTGAGTTTGAGCCCTGCATCCTGGCAGATTCAGCGAGATGACAGGTAGAAAAGAGCACGCAGTGGGGGGGCGCCTGGACGGCTCAGTCGTTAAGTGGCTGCCTTTGGCTCAGGTCAGGATCCCAGGCTCTGGGGATCGAGCCTTTGGCTCAAGTCAGGATCCCAGGGTCCGGGGATCAAGCCCCGCATCAGCCTCGGGCTCCCTGCTCCGCGGGAAGCCTGCTTCTCTCTCTCTCCCTCTCCCTCTCCCTCTGCTTGTGTTCCCTCTCTCGCTGTCTCTCTCCGTCAAATAAATAAATAAAATCTTAGGAAAAAAAAAAAAGCATGCAGTGGGCACTCAGTAATTGGTAATTATGTGTCCCTTTTCACTGAACTCCCACTTCATCCCTGTCTCCTCAGCATTTACAGCACCACTTGATCCCTGAGTGGGGTTCATTTTTTCAATGAGTTAATGAGCACATCTTTAATTTCACTCAATTCTCACAAGAGTCCAGTGAGATAGGCAGGGTAGGGATGATTATCTCCATTTTGTAGACAGACAAACCAAGGCTTGGGGAGGTAACGTGAGTGCTCGGGGAGTGCTCAGCATCGGCCAGATCGTCAGGTTGCTTGGCCAGGGGCGTGAATCCAGATCTGACTCCTGTCAGAGCTTTTACCCCTAACCCTTGCATGTTTTATGCAGTCACAAGGATTAGAGATGGAGTATGAATGAAACTGTCAGGCTTTTTGTTTTTCACTTGCTTGGTCCACCTGATCCAGATTTGCCCTAATCAGTCTTCCTAAAATACCACTTCTTCAGTTGACACCTTTGCTCAAAAACATTCATTGGCTCCCTATTGCCTAAGGGTCAAATTTAAATGTGCTGGGTTGGCATTCAAGGCTCTCCCTGGTCTGGCCCCAGTCTGCCTTTCTAACTGCAGGGCTATCCCCATCCCTACTACTCATCCAGCCACATAGGCTTGTGTACAGCCTTTACATTCTCTCTCCTCCATGCCTTTGCTTAAGCCTATTCCACGAAACCTGTCCCACTCTAAATAGCCCTCAAGTCCCCATCTCCACGATTCCTCGGTCCTCATTGGCCTCTGAATGCACAGTAATAATAACAATAATAATAATAGCATTTATTGACCACCTACTGTATGTCAGTCTCCTTGCTCCTCTTCTCTCTCCACCCTCACAATAACGTTTATGAGGCAGACATTAATACCCTGATATCGAAGGTGAGGAAGCTCATGGCTGAGAACTGGTCAACAAATATTTCCAGAGCACCGACTTTGTGCCAAACAGTATGCTAAGCCCTGGTCATACAGTGTGACTCTTGATCTTGGGGTGATGTGTTGGAGCCCCATGTTGGGGGTAGAGTTTACTTAATAAAAAAATGCTAAAATAAGTTGAGACCTGAAGGCTTTCAGAGACTAGGAATGAGAACCTTCCAGGCATAAGGCACAGCTTATGCAAAAATTTCCAGGCAGCAAAGCACTTTGCACAATAGAGCCGGGGCGCCCCTCGACCAGGCCCCAAGACCGGTCCTTTAGAGGGTTCCTGAAGATCTCAAACCCCAGACAAATACATGACTGAGAACAGGAGGGCACCTGGGGCTCAGGGCTGATCTGACCAGGCAAACTGGAAACTGAAATATCTGCATTCTAACAGGGGTGGGGGCTTGGGGGGGAGCTGAGGGAATGCCTCACATCTTGCCCCCTGTTCTCCAAACCAGAGGTGTCTGCACTGGACCGAACGTGGGCTGGGTGACAGGCCAGGTCAGAGGACACGGCTTCGGAGTGTGGGCCCATGTGAACAGCAGAAGCTCTCAAGTGAAAGAAAAGATCAATTCATTTCTCAGACCTCTCCTCTTGGGTTGCATGGATGTGATAGATACTTGCATAATAAAGTGTCTGTTTTAGGGACGCCTGGGTGGCTCAGTGGGTTGAGTGTCTGCCTCTGGCTCAGGTCATGATCCTGGGGTCCTGGGATGGAGCCCCGCATTGGGCTCCCTGCTCAGCGGGGAGCCTGCTTCTCCCTCTGCCTGCCACTCCCCCTGCTTTGTGCTCTCTCTCTCTGACAAATAAATACATAAAATCTTAAAAAAAAAAAAAATGAAGTGTCCTTTTTTCCTGCTTCTTTTCACGTTCTGAAGGTTCTCATGAGTCAGCACTGGTATTAAAGTTGCACATGACGGCTGAGGAACACTTTATGATATTAAAAACAATTCATATGACTCTTAAATTTGTATATACGAAGGTCAGGCCTTAATGTGTGAGGCATGATTGCAGTTCCTCGTATTGACACATCGGATGCTATTTTGGGAACAGTTCTGTTTTCCAAAAAATATTTAATAAGGTGGAATTAAAATGTCTAAACTATTTAAATTCGATTACATTTTGCTACTTATTAATTAGAAACCATATTTGCCTTTAAATTTTAATACGTAATTTTGAATATATTAGAAGGAAAGTCACTTTTGAAAGCATGTGAAAAATAACTTTATTAAAAAGGTTTCTCTTGGGGCACCTGGGTGGCTCAGTCATTAAGCGTCTGCCTTTGGCTCAGGTCATGATCCCAGGATCCTGGGATTGAGCCCTGCATCGGGCTCCCCGCTCAGTGGGAAGCCTGCTTCTTCCCTCTCCCACTCCCACTGCTTGTGTTCCCTCTCTCGCTGTCTCTCTCTGTCAAATAAATAAATAAAAATAAAAAAATAAAAAAGCTTCTCTTTTTAAGTTAATTTTATTAAAAAAATTTTTTTTATTCATTTATTTTAGAGAGAGAGAGAGCAAACAGAGGGAGGGGCAAAGGGAGGGAGGGAGAGAATCTCAAGCAGACTCCATGCTGAGTGGGAAGCCTGACACGGGGCTTGATCTCACAACCCTGTGATCATGACCTGAGCTGAAATCCAGAGTCTGGCGCTTAACCAACTGAGCTACCCAGGCGCCCCTAAAAAGGTGGGTTTTTTTTTTACGTTTTTTATAGTTACTTTTTAGGAGAATGTATTCATATTTTGTATGCTTTGAATGCAATTATATATTTTTTAAAGATTTTATTTATTTATTTGACAGAGAGAGAGCATAAACAGGGGTGGAGCATTGGCAGAGGGAGAAGCAGACTCCCCGCCGAGCAGGGAGCCTGACTTGGGGCTTGATCCCAGGACCCTGGGATCACAACCTGAGCCAAAGGCAGATGCTTAACTGACTGAGCCACCCAGGCGCCTGCAATTATATTTTTAAAAATCCTTTGAGAATTAATGCAGGTCCAGATCATGAGAGGAACAGAAAGTAGCGAAGTAGAACTCAGAAAAGAATGAATGGAAACTTCTGGGTCTTGGTGTTGCTAGATTTGGTGAGCACGTGTGGGAATTTAGAGACAGTATAAATAAATGGTCAGATTTGGGTAAGGCCTGGGATTTAGGATTGAGCATCAAGATTTTGGTTAAAATGAGGGTCGGGGGGCACCTGGGTGGCTCAGTTGGTTGGGCATCTGCCTTTGGCTCAGGTCATAGTCCCAGGACCCTGGGATCCAGCCCCAAGTCGGGCTCCAGTGGGGAGCCTGGTTTTCCCTCTCCCTCTACCCCTCCCCCTGCTTATGCTCTCTCTCTCTCTCTCTCTGTCAAATCAATCAATCAATCAAATCTTAAAAAAATAAAATGAGGGTCAGTTTAGGAATATGAATCCGATCAGGAATACAGATAACTTCTAATACCTTCTGATCTAACACCATTGCAACAGGCCTTTCTCCAAAGAAAAACAGGCTCGAGGCTCCATAATTACACCTTGTTTTGGTCTAAAAATGACAGTTCTTAGCTTGATCACTGGCATTAGTCACCAGATCCAATTCCACATGAATTTTAGCTGTTTTCTAAAATTAAAT